ATATGCGAGTAAACCTTTCGGTTTTCATCTTCTTAACACACCGAGTTTTAAGTTTTTTTTGGTTTGGTTGAATCCTATTCGAGTCGATTCGTAGAGGAGAACATAAAAGGAAGTCAGAACAAGAAATCTGGAAACTCCGTCAAAAAAAATATTTTTAGGTGAATTTGGAATTTAACAAGAACTAAATTTTTGATGTACGTCTTATTCTTATCGTTACAATGACCTTGAACTATTACTACTTTATTTGGCACTAGAAAATATCTCCCCACTTTTTATATACTTTTCACAAATCCATCAGTTTATTCATGATAATTTCTGAGATCACTTCATTTCAGGTAAACCCGCCGTTGCCAATAATTGTTACAAGAAAAACATTTTAATGATTTTATTTCATCCTTATTATCGATTATCAATTTTAAAAAGCATTCTTCGTGGGTTTAGTCATTTTTAGCTGACTTGCAAATGTAGTCCTGTACACGTGAAAGGCTACTACAAGTTGTACTCTTCTCGACATTATCTCAGATCTCCTGGTGTTCTCACCATATTTCCAATAAATTGCCTAGACTACTTAAGTTAGGGAGAGCCTTAACTACAGATTATGTGACGCTCCAATAACCTTGAGCTCTAAGTTGATTTACATCCATTAGTTAAATGGAATTGCAGATGAGAAAGCTATTTACGAAGTCTGGTACCACTCCACCTACTAGACACGAATCACAATGTGAATTTGCAATCAAAAGTCATAAAGCTGACTTTTATATTCATAAAAAGTCAGTAGTTAACCTTCAACTGCGTTATTAAAATTGTAACTCTTTTACAATTGAGCGTAACCATAATTTAATGAGCTGATCTTCATACGTTCATACTTCCGCTCCAAGCGTTTAAGACTTTTGTTACGTCACCCATAAATTTATATCAGCATCTCAGACATTTCACTGGCCTTACAATCTCAAGTAATTATAAAAAAATCCTTTTTAAAGTAATTGAATTTTCGAATTTTTTATACTGCACACAGTTTCCTCGTGGGCAGTTTAATGCTAACATTGGGCTATAAGCTAGAAATAATTAAATATATTGGCTCGCATGAAGCTAAAACAGGAAAAAATACGACAGACTCATAGTGTTCTGAAGATATTGTCTTTCTTGCTTTTGAAAAATTTGTGAAGAGAACCAAGTGAATGAATTTATTGTCATAATGTCTTATATTTTGTATTTCATATAATTAATGATATTCAGAGCCGTCAAAAAGTGGTCGAAAGAGGCTAATAAATAAACTGACGATGAGAATTCATTTTTCATACAGAATGGTCAACAGGCAATTTACATCAGCCTTAACAATAAACAAGAAACTGAACCTACACAGAAATACTTCAATCATTAACACAGGTCAACTGAACTGCTGTTGTTATCACTAAAGAATGAAGATAGTGTTTCTGACATTAAATAACGATTACATCTAAGATTATAGTCTAGGGAATGGATAAGACTACATTAAAAATTAGCAAATCTGACATAAATAGCTTCAAATGGAGTTTAACGTCCTTTAATATTATGATGTAAGACACAGTGACTTTCGACCTCGAAAAACTGGTTTCAACAGAGTTTAAAGATCGAGACCATGTCCGAAAAATTGTGTAAAACAGTCATCCTTACGACCTAAATGAAACGAGAACACTCATGCTTGATATTTTCATTTCAACTATAAAAAATAATGATAAAAACCATTATTTATGACCGATAAATGTGTCAATGTCACCATTTTAGGTGAAAAATAGTCGCAAAGTTATCTTATATATAAGGTTACACTAACTAATAAACTAAAACATTTACCACCAGACAAACACCTAGCCCAAATATCGTAACAATTGCCGATTAGTCACAGGTGGGTTCAATCACTAAACCGGTAGTTGGCAAAACCTAAAGCCAAAACCTCTAATATGTAAAACTGAATTTTTCTTTATTATTCCAGTTATCCTTTCAATGTGATATTTACCATAAGGTATTAAAATCTGGATCTGACTAGACAAAACTCGTTAAAATGATAGAATACATTATGGTTCAGCAAATGTTTTGATAACGCGCGATTAAATACAGATCTTTGGCTACTATTCAGTAAGAATTTATTAAAACTTAACATGAAAAGAAACGAAACCAACCTGGGATTTGAGTTAAAATATAGCCCCAGAAAAATGCTCCCAATATCAAACCTTGGGTCAGCCTATCCCAATTGAACTCCCCCGTGCTAGTCTAGATAGACGTTTTATTCGAACTAGTAAGTTATACCTCAGTTTTCTTAAGATACGTGTGATTAGAAAAATTAGAACAATAAAATGACGAATGGTTTGTGGATGTCTTGTCAACCGTATCATTGACCATGGCAAGTATTGTAACGTTTAAATCAACTCTCATCATGTAAATCAGAATTAGATTGATGAATCCCATTGTAGCGATAATGTAACGACATTTACAACAGAATACCCCTGTCGAACAACCCATTTCTTTACAAATGAATAAGTACAATAACTTGGTAAGTTAAAACAATCCCCAAGGTCGTCCAGTATCCGATACCTTAAGAACAACTAGAGCGAAAAAACCACATTGTTTGTTTTTTGTTACTCAGTGTCTATCAAACGTTTTGATGTTTTGTTGTACTCCGTTTATTTGATTAATCTAGTTTATCATATTTACATGATGGATTCATGACGGTATTAAGATATATCCAAGATACTTATTCACATCTCTTTGCTAGCTTTCATTGTTCTCCTAGTTTCGTATAGGGGACAGCTTAGTGTTTTTTTCTAGGGAGTCAAATGGACTTGTCAAGTCACTTAGTCTTGGGTATATTTCCAAGACGTAAAATAAGGGTTAATAACAAATTAAGTGGGGCCGGGTAATTGACGACATCAGCCGAACGTTTTCAACAACTGTGTTGTGTTTCTTCTTCTTCTGCTTTTTACTTGTTTACTCGGATAAATATTTTTGGTAAGGTTTCATCGGTTCCCCTAAATTGCTTAAAAAGCAGTATGCTGCGACCTTTAAAAAATGACAAATCAGAATGAAAAATCTTCGAATTGTGCAGTTTCAACTCACGAATGCGCGAATCGGGTGATCACAGTAAAAGTGCAACTGGTATTCTGAGTCTGACAATGCCTGTACACGTAATACTTTAAAGGTGAGACAAGTATTTGGAGTTTAACAATGCCCTAACCAGTAACACTTTTCTATGATCGAAACGTGCTAATCCAAGTAAAATCAAAAGTCAGAGGTCAAGAGGTTCAAAGATATATTTGGTAGAGTATCAATATATCGAAAATTGACTAATCTGATCTGACCAGCGGTTATAGAATTGAAGCCTTGCGTAGTCACTCATGATCTGATGCGGATGCATGACCAATCGCCTTCGGCTGGGTGAGTCCATTAAAACTAATGCAGTCAGCATCAAATGTTGAAGACTTACAGAGCTATTGACTTTGGGAATTTATTTACCGCTTCAACCTTCATAATCGAAGTACACCCACCCACTGGAGACAAAAATCATAAATGAAGTGGTTCGAATATATATTTTGAATGTTATCGATATGTTGAAAAGCGTCTGATCTGAGATGGCTGTCAGAAGCAAGGGATGAGTAGCACAGCTTACCCACTCGGTGCAGATGCGTAACTGATCGACTTCACGTGTGTTCAATAAATACAGTGAGGTCAGCATCAAAGTCATGGACTTAAAGAACTATCTATTACGAGATTTATTCACCACCACCATTTGTATACAAGGACACTAGAAACTCACTAGTAATGAATTTCAACTTCGGTGTGTTTTTTATTCATTATCACATTTGAGAACAAGAATGTTATTTTTTAAAAATTCTTTGATTAAAACGTTGATTGTTTGATCTGAAATGTTCCATGATCCATAGTTATCAGAAATTTAGTATGATATATGGTTGATATAAGGTCTTGGTCCTACTAACTGAAGAGAGGATAGGTTATGCTCTGAAGTGAACTAAAAGTAAAAAACAAATTCACCTTAGTACTCTACTCTCACTGAGCATAAGGGTCCAACTAAGACCCGACCAAATCGCGCTTGAAGATGCCACAGGTATTCGGAGTTTGGCAACGCTTTAACCAGTAACACTTAATATGAAGCGTTTCCACCAAGTGAAATCAAAAGAGAGGAGCGAGAAGGTTCGAAGATAAATTTAATAGGCTATCAATATATCGAGGACCGTCTGATCTAATCTGGCTAGCGACTGCAGAGGTTGTTGAGCACGGCGTTCCCACTCGTGATCTGGTGCGGATTCATCACCGGGCGCCTTCAGCTAGGTGAGTCCATTAAAACTAATGTGGTCAGTATCCAATGTAGAAAACTTACAGAGCTATTCATCTTGGGGATTTATTTACCGCTACACGCCCCTATAAAGCGTCCGCGGCTTCTTTTACGACCTTCCAGACCATTCTGGACCATGTCGATGCTAAAACATTTCTGACTTTGTATGCAGTATTCGTGCCTCCTAAACTCGAGTGCTGAGTAGAAACCAGCCCTGACGAAAAAGAGACAGAGAAATGTTGGAAAAGTTTCAAAGTACCGCAACTAAGTTGATTTATGGGATGATGAAGCTCCCACATGATGCCTGACTGCTAAATGAGACTGTTTCGGCTCTCATATAGCAGGATCAGAAGCGACTCGATCGCAGTTTTCAAATTACTTAGTGCTAAAGTTTCACTTGATATGCCTTGACTTTTCTTGTCTACCAGAACAGAAAATTTATGAGGAAAGTATTAAAAGGTTCACAAGCCGAGGACAAGTTACTTGTCATCTGACTACTGACTTTCCTATTGAACCACCAATGAATGAAGCTCAATACCTCAACACATAAATAAAGCTTTATTTGTCGTCGCTTTCTAAAGAAAGTTGTCCACCATTGTCACGACTAACACAGGTTAGTTAACCTCTTATCCTTTCCAAAGTGAAAATGAAATTCTTAAGTCAAAAGTTTAGAACTCTGAACCTGAAATATTCTAATTGGCTTATAATCCTAAATAAATGATCCGCACTAAGTAATAAGAATAGTACTCAACTTCATTGGATTATGATAATGTAAGATCATTGATGGACCTATGAACTCGAGATATTGAATGTCTTATGTAAAGTGGCAGGTTTGAGGCTTTGTTTGTACGGTTGCTACTAAGTGCAACAAATCAATCACCTCAATATGGGTGATAGTCTGTGTAATATTGCTCGATATATTACATTACTAACGGATGAAGACAGGTTCGTTCGAAAAAAAGCATTGAAGTCTGTGGAAGACTACTTGAATACTAACAGCGATAAAGAAAGTACCATTTTTAGTTCAGTAGCAGAAAATCTGGCAAAGACTTTGAATGATCCTGTTGAGGTCAATCGCGAACTTGCAGTAAAAGTTTTAAAGCTGTCCATAGATGTAACTAATGATGTGACACCTTTGCTTGCATTATTAGTGCCTGTGCTGGTTATGCGTTTAGGACAGAAAGAAATAATAGAACATTCCGAAGAGATTCGCTACTCCACACTTAATCTCTTATATATTTTGCTGAATAGAACTGATGAGATATCTCCATTTGTCGATGATTATATCTCAGTAATTCAAAAGACACTTGTCGATCCATATCATGAAATTAAAAAATTGTCTTGTAAAATTACAGTGGTTTTATCGCAGAGAAAATGCCATCGATTTTATCAAATTTCGGAGTCTATTTTACTGCCTATGTTGTCAAATCTTACACATCAACATTCGAAAGTTAGATTAGAAACTGTGGTCGCTCTTGAAAAGGTTTTGCTGCACAGCCAGGGAAAGCTTGTTGAAAATGTTATCGCACCATTAACCCAAAGACTTTTTGATTCATCATCAGCAGTTAGACGAGCTGTTATTGAACTTGTGGGCTCATGGTTGTTGGATTTACCTGATCGGTATTCATATCAAACAAAGTTATTGCCTCTACTTCTTTCCGGTTTCATTGACGAATCAGATGAAATCCGTATGGTTGCTACAAAATTGTGGCATCATATAGGTAAGTTAGGAAGGTTGATTAAACTTTGTAAGCTTTCAGGACTTAAGTTTGAAAAAGAGAACGAAGAGCAGCTGAAAGATAAACTGGATTTCGATCACGGTCCTCCATTTCACTATCCATGTGGGTGCAAACGACCAATACTGGGTAAGTTTTCCAAGGAAGTAGTATCCTTACAAAGGTGCTTGATTAATCCAAAGCTTAAACTGCATCAGTAATTTGCTGTTGTCACATTAAGTTAAGAGTCATGATGTTACCTGTTAAAACAATTTAATTTTGTACTTAATATGAATTCGAACTGATGAACTAAATTTAGCGATACGATTCCTTCTTTTCGATATCAACGCAGTTTTCCATAAGTCCATGTCCTTGTTTCAGTAAAGCGGAAAGTGTCCTATTAAGTTTGCTCCTTCACTGACAACCTTAGTACTGAATCGAATACAGTAAATTCCATATTACGTTTGACTAATTCCACAAAGCATATTATTTATGTAAACACTGATGCGGGCGTTTTCTGTTTTATAATCATTCTCTAAAAAAAACACCGAGCCAAAATTTGTGGTCAGGCGAAAATGGCAGGATTTACTTTTCATATTAAACCAATCGGGTAGTTGGTTGACACAAGGATTACGCATTCAAATCAAGGGTCAACGTCATATAATGTAAGGCGTATCTATTCAGGCCAGGGGTGTATTTCAAAACCCTTCTCTTGAAAATGCTGATTGTCATGTGAGTACTTAGACGTTTCGGGAGCCATCAAATTTATATTGGGGAATCACTTTTCATTGGCAAGTAGTTGACTATTTCCTATCTTTAACGGTCATTTTATTGAAGATATTAACAACACTAATAGTACACTTACTGTAGTTTTTTCTTCCACACGTTGAGCCAAGCTACTTTATTTTCGTAATAATATGCTACCATAAATGTTTATTGAAAGAGTATGCTTTTCTACAGGTTGTCGAGAGCTCGTCTACAGATCGGCATCCAAACTATTTCCAGGTTTATGTAAAGATCTTTCAGACTGGCAAGAAGCAACACGTTTAAAAGCAGCCAGTTTAATACCCATATTAATATTACATCTTGAAGAATCTGCTACTCAACATACTCAACATCTTTTAACGGGTATTGCAAATGGTCTAGCTGATGCACTTAGTCGAATATCACCTGTAGGAAATATGTCTTTAATAAATATGATGCCTATAGTTTCATTTCGGAAGGAAACATCTTCGTCAAGTACAACCACTGCTGACAGAGTAGATGTAATGAGTTTAGTCGTTACACATGCCACATCTCAGGTGTTTAGTTTATCTGAAGCCAACGAGGCAATTAAAATTATCAATCAATTATTTATTGCTGCTCAAGTTTTGGGTTGCATGATCCCCACTAAGGTGAGTTTTTAATATTTTTAGTACTTAGATTATCCGTTTGATACTTATTTCGTAAGAATGTTTCAGGAGTACAAGATAATGTTTTAGTGGAACAGTTCAGAGACTTCGAAGACCAATCACCATATATCACTTGTTCTTTTTTGAACACCAGTCTAGTGTTCTACTCAATTGAAATAAAGTTCATTGACTTAGTTTCTAGTCGAACTGATTTCTAGAAGTTAAAACATTCAAATATGTCCAATGTTTACTTAATTCTAATCTAATTAGTAGAGTCCACGAGATAATCCTTCGGGGAAGGGCTGATCCCTATACTACTATCCACTTTATTTGACACATTAAAGCGGCACCTGTTAGAAAAATCAGTCTTTTTCTCATTGAATGATTACTGGCAAACGCCATCCTAGAAGCTTTTTACCCTTTGAGTACAAAGTCATAATTGAGCTCTCCAAACTCCAGTTTTTCCAATCGCACCACTGAAACTTCAGTCCCAACCTAGTAACAGCTATTTCAGCGTTTAAATCCTTCTTAATAACTTGGAAAAGTTTTAGATCATTATGTATGATGTTTAAATATTGGTTTTAATTCGTTGGTATATTAATATGAGGAAATGGTGTTTCAGTAAATAGGGAATTAGTTCCGTCTTTGATCTGCTGTTTTAGATGACTGACTCAGATATTTTGATTAGATTTACGCAAGTTTGTTTATTTATGACTTTTAAACATAAGGTCTAATATTTGCAAATTCCAACGCTATTTATCAATTCCCCTCAATATCTGTATAATTCTAGGTAGATTAACGAATTATTCAAACAAATAGTGGAAAAAGATTTAAGTTAAACGTGGAATTGAAATTGAAGTGTATACCGATGTGTGATTTGCTTAAATGGATTGAATTACTAGGAAGATTAAAGTTCATGTATCCTGTTTTTTTAATGGATGACCCATTTACTGTTTACAGTTAATTAGATCTCATGGAAGAAATCTCATTTACCTATCAAAATTTATCCTAAATTTTTTGGATGTATTGCGGGAGCGTTTTTAAATCAAAAATAAGTATTAGATTAAATATACGCCTATATATTCTCATACTTGGTATGTTAGTGAACTAGCCAAATTTATTTTCTTATTAGCAAGTTTACACGAGAAATGAGACTACTACTTTATAAATGCATACTTCTCACAACAATAGCAACTGACGATAAACATCAGTTGCTCAAACCCACTCGTAAACCATTTATACACATTACAACCAATAAATCGATGAATATTTTCGCACCAATTTTTATGTCCTAAAATAAAAATGTTTTCTTGAGTTATGATTACGAATATTTTCCGAAACGTAAGCAAGGTCAAATGAGGGGTATGTACAAAGTTTTCTGCATACAAAATGTAAATTTATGGATATGTATTCCTATGGCTTCCGATGTGTCCAACAGGCGGATTATAGGAACATAGAACAAGTTCAACAGAATTCTTTAGATAACCATAAAGGCTAAATTTGTCTCGGTGTGATGATCTGATGTCCCGGAGGGGAGCTTTTCGTCATTTGGAATCTTTTTCGGTCAACTAAACAGGACTATGTTCAGAAATCCGATAGTATGATTGCTTAGTTATGCGCCTAGTACGAGTATACCAAAAGTATATCGATAAAACTCACAGCTGAAGGGAATTCTCAAGCAGTTTGTTCTGTCGTAACGGGAAATGGGGAGGGGTATTGTACCACCAACAGTTTAATCACATCAAGTACCGTAGGTATCATAAAGTTGCTGGAATTTCCGAGGCTGGGTTTCCTGTTAGTGGTAAAATACTTCTTCCACTCACCATTCGAGGTAATAAACTTTGTAGGGATTCTTTTTGGCTCCTGAAAATAAACTCATGATTTGCATGTATCATGGTGTAAACTCCAGTGCTTTTTCCTTCAGAAAAACGAATAGGTCCAAACAACTGATACTTTGTAGTTTACGCCATAGTGACTATTTAAACATTGTAAATGAAAGACTAGATATTTATTTTCTGGTATGATACTCAGCAGTTCGTATCCATAATCCAACCAGGGATTGAGTTCAAGGCCTTCAGGCCTTTCAAGGGGTGCTCACCCTTTCAGCCACTAATAATTCTCAACGTCATTTAGATTTTGACACCGTTCATGATTCACAGTATTTTATTTTTTGACTTAATAAAAAATCGGTTACTAATGCATTACCATCTTCGATTTGTGTTTGTATATAGCCAAGTAACTTAAGAACCATTGGTTATTCAGTTACATATATCCTATTTTCCACAATTGTCTACTTATCTATTTGTTTCTTGTCTAGTTTTGGTGGCATTTACTGGAACCATGTCTTGATCGTTGTACAGAATCTGGTGCACCATCATCATTAGCTGGCCATTTACTCCTTTTATCTGGTTTACTTCATGGTAGTCCATTAAACCAATTAATAATAACTGACGAAATGAAAGAGTTAAAGCGTGACTCATCATTGAATAAGTGTTCTACTAATGTGACTAATGCTTTCGCTAATACTACCAGTACTGCTACTACTTCTGATGATAGTCATTGTATTCATGGGAATGAAACTAATGAAAATAATGATTATCAAATGAAAAGTGGTCATGTCAAGGAGACCTATACACCAATCAATTATAGTACATTACATAAGATTATCTCTTATCTTTGTCAAAATGAATTAATCTCTGTCATATCGATTAATGCCAAAGCAGGTCTATTAGAATGTGTTCAAGTGTGTATTAAACATCTTGAAGAAGCGATTGTTTTATTAAAAAAGGAAACAGAACAACAGCAACAACAAGGGGATACTTTAGAAACTTTACAACTGAATGATGATAGTCATAAAAATATTATTCAAGCTACTTATAACGCAGCAAAATTAGTAATTCAAGACAACCAGGTAAGTAAGTAGATAACATTTTTCACTGTATTATGCATGAAGTTGTACATTATATAAATGCTTACGAAACGCGAATGTCCTGGTAATTTTTTTCCATATATGGAGCCTTTAAATTATTATTCGTATGTGGATCTCGGTAAACTATGTTATGCCAGTTTCATCAAACCCCAAACCGATTACATATTAATGCGAACAATCCAACAGTACTACCGACTTCTATAAAAGAGATACAGTTGAAAACCAGGCACTTATGTCTTTACAAGACTTAAATTAAGTTGTTCAGGTTGCCTTCTCAAGCTGATTGGTTGATCCATTTATTACATATAACAAGTAACCACATATTCTCCTAATTAGTAACTTAAAGAGCAGCTTATATCAATCCGAGTTATCTTTGACTCCTTAGTGCTGTTTGTCTGGCTTTTGAAGATTATGTTTGCAACTCGTTGGTAAGAGCATTTCTGCTCTATGCTTGTAAAACTTGTCCGACGCTAGCCTAAGATATCCAGTGACTCGGTGTTCGATCATAATTGTCTCCGAAAGATAGCTGACATTCGGTAACAACACCACATTGGTAATACAATGTATTTGGGCACAGTGACGATAATTTAGTTAGTATCACCATCTTGAAACAGTGTTCGGTGGCCCCCCGAATGCCCTAGTACGGCCGAGAGTGGGGAGAGTCCACTCTCCCTCTCGAAATGCTCTCATATGTCTACGCATATACAGCCACTGTCAGGGAAGTCCTAATTACTGCCTTCTCGAGGCGGGGGTGTTGTTTACGAAATTGAGAGGACGAACAACAAATGTCTAGCGCTCTGACCAGGTTGGTGGACACGGAGAGTCCGTCTAGGGGAGTTGGAAAACCCTGATTTCAAGCCAATGGTGCACATAAGCTCCAGGATCCTGAAGGAACAAATCGTTGGTCACCGGCTACAATGGGGCTTCATCTCCTAATGTTGCTTCACTGCCTTATGGATCAGACATTTAGGTAGAAGGTTCCGGGTGTAGCCCCCTAAGAAAACCATCTGCTTCGGTTTGGTCACCCGGGTAGTATCACAGTCCACACACAAATCAATTGATTTGTGTGGTGCCACTTTGTACTAATATTTCTGTGTTCAAATAAATAAATGTTCGATGGCTCAAGCATTTTCCGAGTCCCATCCCACTGGCTCACAGATCTTACACCATTTCATAACTCTGTGGTGGGCTGGTCATTTTGTGAAATGGAGCTGTAGTATGAAAGAAATCTGTATAGGGCTGGGATCTGTCCGTTCATCTTGTCTTTTTGGTCAGGTTCCTAGGGTTAGTTCAACTTTTTTGCTTAGTACTTTGTCAGACTTGGATCAGAATAGAAACCAGTTCTGATCCCGTCATAGTTTCCTTTTACCTTCATAAAAGTGAGAGGTAATCGCTTAACTAAAGGAAGTCTTTTTTATTTATATTTTTATTTGAACTGTATCTCCTATTATATTGATTCTTGACTATTGTACTCTCCTTCACTCACTCATTCCTTTATAATGTCTTTATTTTGTATGTTGCATACCTTCCTTGGTGCTCCGTCACACCATAATTTATGTATATCAAGTAAATAAAAGAAGTAACCGCAAAAATCTAAAGAGTATTCACAAAAGTATGAGATCTTAGTTTACTTAGTCTACATAGAAAAAAGTTATTTACTTATTCGATAAAACTGTGGGAGGGACACTGGAAACTTATGTTGATGTGGTTTGCATCAAACGAGTATCCGTTGTTTTTGTAGTTAATAAATGTATTTCCCTATTCTGTACCTTTTCATCCAATATCTTTTCTGCACTTTTTTTCACATATTTTACAATCCTTTACGACAATGCCTATCATTATTAGGAATATAGAAACCATTATTTCTGCTTACCTCTTGTTAATTCTCCGTCACTGCTCTATTTGTTGTCATAGTGCATTTTCGATTGTGATATTGTTATAGTAGGTAGAACTCTGTCAGCCCGTTTTGAATTCAGATCATATTATTTGACATTGCACATGAAAAACACTGTTGTACAGTAACTAGCCACGTACACAGACACGTCACTCTACTGTAAACCACTGTCTTCGTGTTAACAGTTAATAATGCTGCTGCCCAGTTGTGAGGGCGGAATAAGGCTGAATGAAGTTCGAAACTGTGACCTTGTTAGTTGAGAGCTGAAGCTTTTCAATCATTAGATAATTGGCAGTTTCTTACACCTTGATAAAAACTGAATTTGTGTCTAGTCGTCCAAAGAAAACCTTTTCGTTCAGTGTCTGTCGTTTCCGTTATGTATTGCCCTGAATGTACTGTCCTAAGAGTTTTTCCTACCTTAACTTTAGATCCGTTCATGTTTGTTTGAAATAATTCTTGGATCGGGTGCAATTTGGCCAGAAAATGATTTGATTTCATCAGATTTCGGTCGTACAGTTCTTAGTTCATGTGATAAACTCATGCAATGGTTAGCAGCCTGTCACCGTGACTGTATAAATTTATCCAAACAATATCATCTCTCCACTGAGGAGGACTTTGAAGTAAATTCAACAACAGTTAGTCATATGGATCAACTGTTTTTCAGCTGTATGCCTAAGGTAAGTTTATTTTTTGTGCGTCGTTAAAACTCGATCACTTTTTGGTAGGTTTATTTTTATAAACTGTATTTATATACATGTATGCGTAATTCATACTACTATTTATAATATCGTTTACACATATATGCTCCTTAAGATTGTTGATAAACCCTGGTCAACTATAAAGTATATATCGAAAGAGATGACTATAAATTTTAAAAAGTTCAAGACAATATGTATGAAGCGATGACCCACCGATTGTGTGAGAATTCGGTTCACCAACTCAGTGGTCCGAATCCTACTCCAACTACATGAATTTGGACAACTGCATAGTATCACTAGCCCGTTTTACTAGAAATATGGCTCAAACCGAAATACTCTAATTTTTATCTGGTAAATGAGTTGATAAATATATGTTATAGGAAAACATATGCAATAAAATAATAGTTACTTATAAGTAACACTATCCGACTACGTAAAGTAAATAGCATCAGTCCTTTGTTGAAAATACATATATTTAATGTAAATTCAAACTTTCGTTTTCAGTTGCATAATTTGTCGTTTTTTCTCTTGTTACTCAGTTAATTTGTAGATTAAATGAAGATTTGAAAAAATCTATTTCATGGAATCCACGTTCAGTTGGATTAGCGATACTTTCACGTTGTTTACAAATAGCTACTGGACCGGCACTATTATTCACATTTAATAATCATGATAATAATAGTCAAAATAAAAAAGAATGTTTAGCAGCTGTGCTGGATCTTTTAGAACGTGGTTGTCGATTAAATCGTGCACCCTGTGGCGGTGGTGTTGACAATGGTAGTAGTAATAGTAGTCAGTTTGATAAATCACCCGGCGGTACAGATCCATTAACATTAGCTAGTGAGGCTGAACTTCGTCTACGTGGTTTAATGTTGCTTACAAAACTGACAGATAATAATCAGATCAGAGTAAGTTTACATTATTATTATTATTATTATTATTATTATTATTATTATTATTATTATTATTATTATTATTATTATTCCTTGTTTATAGTAAATATTGATTGACATCGAGGAAGCCCATCTCAAGATAAATTTGTGCCAACAGAGGCTAACGATTTACAGTTCTAAGTATTAAATGCGGGAAGTTATAAACCCTTGATATCCATTGACTATCTGATCAGTGAATAACATCATCTAAATTTTAAATTATTCAATATTAGATTTTTTTTACATGGTATTAGTTGTTTAAAGGTTGATGTAATTGTTGCATAAGTCTTATTTAACAATATTGTGGAATGGTGACTCCCTGTTTAGTGTGTCACAATTACTAAGTCGCAGGTTTGAACCCCGTTCCAACTAATTTGTTTTAGGCAACTGGGTTTAGTTACTGACTTGATATTAGAGTGCTGTCAATCATAGCCAAATATTATTACAACATGTACGTACCTATGTAAATTTGTTAACAGTTTAGGTAGTTAATTTTTTCGGATTTTTTTTTATTTCAGATGGAGTCATATTGCTTTTCAACTTTTCAACATTATTATTTCAGTTGTAAAATGTACGAGATGTTTCTACCAAATGTTATTGCTCATACTACATGGTTTGTAGAAATCTGAAATTTTTCAGAATATCAAATCAATCTAATTATGTTTCGTTTTACAAATGGATTAGACTGATGCTGAAGATGCACTTCACAACTGGAGAAACGGCTTTGCAAAAGTTTAATACAGTCTTTCTTCGAGATGCCGATAAGCTCAATGAATTCAAGAGAGCTCTCAGCAACAAGTTCCAAGGTTCAAAAGACCTACTCAAAAAAGAGGAAACTAATACGGAGAACAACTGGAAGCGAATCAGAGAAGTACTAGCTTCAACGTGCCAGGAGGTGCTGGGCCTCAAGAAGCATCATTATAAAGAATGTATCTCGATCAAAACTCTGGGTAGGATTCAGGGAAGAATGAACAAGAAGACACCAATTAATAACGGTTGAACAAGAGTGGAGAAAGTGAAGGCATACTCAGAATATTCAGAAGCAAACAAGATAGTGAAGAGGAACATTAGAGCTGACAAGCTTAAATACGTCGAAGATCTATCAATGGCAACCGAAAAAGTTGCAAAAGAAGGAAATATGCGACAACGATATGGTACAACGAAAAAACAAGCAGGGAAATATAGCAAACTAGAGAGACCGGTCAAGGACAAAGAAGGCAAGCCAATCACTAAGATTCAAGAACAGAGGAACAGGTGAATAGAACACTCTGAAGAACTCTTGAATAGACCAGCTCCACTAAACCCATCGGACATCAGGGCAGCACCTACAAACCTTCCCATAGCTGTCACTTCACCAACGATCGAAGAAATCAGCATGGCCACTAGACAAATCATGAGTAGAAGAACAGCAGGACCTGACAATGTACCAGCCGAAGCACTGAAGTCAGGCATACAGGCAACTGCAAAGATACTCCATGTTCCATTCAGGGAAATTTGGGAGGAAGGACATCTCATCAAGATACCGAAGAAAGGCGATCTGAGCAAGTGTGATGACTACAGACATCACACTACTATCAGGAACAGGAGAAGATTTTAAACAGATCGTTGTCAAATCGAATGGAAGATTCAGTAGACGCCCAACTTCGAGATCTGCAGGCTGGATTTCGTAAGGACCGCTTGTGCACCGACCTCATCGCGATACTACGAATCATTGTTGAGCAATTAATTGGATGAAACGCGTCATTATACATCAAATTCTTTGATTTTAAGAAAGCATTTGTCTTTAACACTATGGTGTACCTGAAGAGATTGTCAATATCACACAATTCATAAGACAGAAATTACTTCAAAGCGCTGCATGGATGTCAGCTGATAGGCTCATTCCAAGAGAGGACCGGTGTCAGACAAAACAACTTACTTTCGCTCTTTCTATTTCTTCTGGTGGTCGACTGGATTATGAAGGCCTACACATCTGAGGGGAAGCACTGAATATAATGGACAGCTTGGATGCAGCTTGACGATCTGGACTTCACAGACGACCCAGTTCTCCTGTTCCGTACACCAACAAATGCATATGAAGACAGCCAGTATGCCTCATCATACACGAGGTAAAAATCATGATAGTGGAATACAGCACAGAGAGCACCAACCTAATCACATTTGATAGAAAAGCACTGAAAGTGGTGAAAGCGTTTATGTGTCTAGGCAGCATCCTTGATAAACAAGGAGTATCCGATGTAGATGTAAAGGAAAGGACTGGAAAATCAAGGATAGCATCCCTATAGTTAAAGAACATATGCAACTCAGAATCACTGTCAGCCAATACCAAAGTCAAAATCTTCAATATAAACGTCAAGACAGTTCTATTGTGGAGAGTTGAAATTTGAAAACTACAACTATCATCAAAAAGGTACAGGTATTTACAAACGATTTTTTACGCAAGATATTCAATATCCGTTGACCGGATACCACCTACAACAGCTTACTATGACAGAGAACAAAACAACTTCCAGCTAGAGAGGAAGTTAGGAAAAGACAAACATTACAGAGATCATCAGACTGCATCACGAAACAATCCCCAACTTGGAATCTCGAAGTCAGGAGGAAAAGAGGTGGACGCAAGAACACATTGCGCCGTAAATCAAAGGCAGGCACCAAAAGAATGAGTAGAAATTGGAAAAAACTGGAAAGGAAATCTGAAGATAGAGTTGGTTGCAAAATTTTGGTCAGCAGCCTACGCTGCATCCAAATTTTTAATCCACCTTAGCGAGAATAGGTTTTTAACCCTCCTCTGTTCTTTAAATCTTTGATAGGTGGGTGCCTTAATAACTAAACAATTATCACTTCAATTCAATTATCTCATGGTCTACGTCACGAACTGACACTGGACAACTATTAAAAACTAAAATGTCCTGAACAGCTGTAATATCTTAGTATAAGACTCTTTAGCAGTGTACATTCACCACTTCACCTTGGATCAATCCTGGGAACTTCATTTAGTGCATTTGACGCTTAACTTTCAAACCACTAAGTTGACATCCACTGGTACAATTCCATCTCCAGTTAATTCACGATATTTGACAGTTTATTTTTTTAAAATGACATTGTCACATATCTGACACTTGAACCAATTTATACCTTTTTATCTTTTTTTTAATTTTAACTTTCTAGGAAGTATTATCATCCCCAAAATATTTGGACTATTGTTTTTCTAAATTAATTTTACCCGTATGTGTATGGAGAGCTGGTCGTACATCAGAAGCCATGCGAAAAGCAGCTATTACAAGTTATTTAGCATTATTAGCTAGTGCTGTATCAATGTATCATTTATCTGAAATTGTTTTGAATTTACGAACTAACAGTGAAATCAACATAGATAATTGGCTTTTAACTAACAACATTGAATCTATGCATGAGATTATGCAAGAGTTAACAAATAGAGAGGAAGTCTGTGATATTAATAATACTAATTGTAAGTTAATTATCCTTTGTACATAATAGGTGTATGGAATTTGTTTAATTTTCTAGTCCATCAACCGAAGGATGAGTTTACTGCACAGCAGTTCTCTCTATTCTAATTTATGGGTATGAACCATGCCCATTTCTAGTAGAGGATATTTGTAGGTTTCTAGTATTCACTTATAGGTGTCTTCGAAACATCGCTCGTGTATTTTGGGGCCACTGAGTGGGCAACGGTGAGGTTACGTATGAGGTACTAGGTAAAGAAGGCAAATTCATTGGTGAGGTAGTGAATCTCCATCAACTGAGGTGTTTGTGACGTATGTGCTTGTACCCAACCGCCACCTACCTCTCAACGGGAAGTGTTGTTTGGTGTAGGAGTAGACTGGAAGAAAGCTATAATGACGAAAACCAAGACGACACCACTCCATCAAATGACTGACAATTCGATTGAGCTATGTAACTAGGTGGAGACTATCTATTATAATTTGTAGCATTCTACCCTTTCAATATATAACGTAATGATACCGCCACTTAAAGAACAGCGACTTATCGACTGGACCAATGACACATAAACCCGTACGAGCAGCCTAGATTCCTTATCGCTTCTTCTTCCTGATATTATTACCATGCCCACCACTTTACGATTTGTCTCGATAATTTTATCTAGCTATGTAATGTAACAACTTGTACGTGTGCACATACGTCAGATTTTACATTGATCCTGATTGACTGGAACTTACATCACGGACAACCATTAAAAACCAAGAAACACTAGATAGCTTATTTATCTTAATACGAGACAAGTATTCATTCTTATCAACCTATTTACCATCTTTGTCTAGTACTCTGAGTCTTACTTAAACTGGTCACTCGACGTTCCCAACATACACGATCCATTGATTTAAAACACCGGTTATCAAATTGCTAGTAGCTTACATATGTTTTCTACTTCTCAAGATCATGTTTGACAACCGTAAAAGATGGAATAATGCATGTTTTATAGTGGATGTCTCATTTGTGAATTGTAAACGGATTAAAATCCGTAAGAGATTTACATAGAAACTGTTTACTATGGTTAAAATTGACTTATTTTTTTGAAATCGTTGTTTTATATTTTATTACTAGACGTGACGACTGAATGTTTCTAATGACGGTATAAATAATGTGGCGTACAAATATTGTGTTTCCAAAGAATACTTTGATAGAAAGAGACTATTTGTATATCAGAACTGTATACTTAATTGCTTTCTTGCAGAGGGTTTTTTTAATAAAATTGTGAGAACGAAAAGCGAATGTCTGGCAGGTTGGTGGATATGGAGAATCCACCTAGGGAGGTGGGGAATCCTGATTCTAAACCAATGATGCATATGGGCTCCAGGGTCCTGAGGGCACAAAAGGCGCGTGAACCAATTGTTGGTCGCCGGCTACCATGGGACTGCATCTCCTAACGTTGCTCCACTGCCTTGTGGATCAGACCTTCAGGTCGAAGGCTCCGGGTGTGATCCTCTAAGAAAGTCACCTGCTTCGGTTTTCACACCCCTGCAGTATCACACACAAAGCAATTGACTTGTGTGGCGTATATGTATTCGGTGCCCTTTTGTACCAATGTTTATATGTTTAAATAAATAAATAAATGTGAGGTATCAGTTCAATAATTGATGTCACATATCATCGATTTCATTTAGGGTTGCTCACAACAGCGATTACATTCTTCCAATGTAGTCCTGCTCTTACCAGCCTGGCAGTGGCCTTCATATATACCTTTCATAAATCTTCTTCAACAGGTACAACTTTATAACCTCTTTAATTGATTGATCTATGTTACTTGCGTAGAACTTTACTTCCAACTTGTATAAAGATGTCGTGCTCACCACTCGACCTGTAAATTATGTGTTCGATCTTGTGTGTGCTAGTCTTTAGTTCCCTCAACTGATATCGTCAGTCCGTAGTGTGAACTGTCCTTAATTCATTGATTGTAATCACTTCATATATTTTTTCTCACAATTCTATTTATTTAATTATTTACAGCTAACAATGAGATACAATTCTTTCCAAAATATAGTAATCTACCAAGTTTATCTGGCTCCTTGTTATCTTTGATGTTGGCACGTTTAGGCTCATTATTAGATGATGATTTGGAAGGGACCAGACGTTTAGCTTGTCTTTGTTTGACCATATTCTTTAATGGTCTTCTTATACCTTCACCACCAATATCACCGGCATCTTCATCATCGATGGAGTTATCTAACGGTAATCAAAATCATTATGAAGGAAATCGAGTTATAGATTTTCTCAATTCACCTACATGGATTCAACCGCTTACTACTACTATTACTAATACTGTTAGCAGTAGTAATCATGAATTGGTCAAAGAACATAGTGTATTATTGCCTTATTGTCCACTGGCCAATTCATTTGGTGATCAAGTCTATCGTTTTTATGGTAATTTTATTAAGCGTCTTAATGATTCGAAAGATCAAGTAAGTTCTACTTTCCCATTACTGACCTCTTTGACTATTATTATTATTATTATTGTTATTATTATTATTATTATTATTATTATTACTATTATTATTATTATTAATTAGTGTATTGACAGTAATAAGATTTACCTCGTAGTTAAATATCAATTTAGTTAGATGAATAGTTCCATATATTAGAAGAAAAAATAATTAATCGTGTAGTTACATGAACGGCTCACTTAGACTTTGTTCTACTTATCGCTAATACAATTTTCAGATTCTGTTTTTACAATTTTATTAGTGTAATAATATTGTAAATCAAGTTTTACTATAATTCTACAGTTTAGTAACTTGCGGACATAATATTTCACTGGAATGTTCCCAATTCAGGGTAAAAATTGGAACGAAACAAAAATATATATGCCAAAACCCGAGTGGCAAAAGATACAGTGGCAAAATATTTCTATGAGTTACTATGGGATAAACATGCAAATCTGATAACTTGAGTCCATCTGTAGGCGCTAACCAGTTGCATAATGGACTAATCAGCACTTCTCATCTTGATCTTAGGTATACAGTACTCGAAATTCTATTCATCGTAGACTAGTTTCGTTTGGGGTATGACTAAAATTCATGGAGCACTAGACTGCTGTTACATCCTAGTATGTGACTCCTCAGCAGTGCTCACGCAATGTCGAACCGGGGATCGAAACACGACCTTTACGTCTCGTGGTCCAGCGGTGCAATTCCAAATTTAATCAGTTTGTGATTTAGTTCAACGATCATGCACTACCATAGGTACCTTTTCTGAACATCATTCTAGAACTTCATTAGTATCTTGAAGTAAGTTACTAGTGAGCTAAATGTTATAGTTTAGTTTTTCGTTTAAACAGTTATTGTCAAATTATGATGAAAAATTTTGTTATTTCGTAAATAAATTTTCTCCTTGTATCTTGGGTTTGGAGACTACTGCATGTATATTAGGGCTTAAACATCTGAATACTTTCATTTTTTGGACCAAGTAGCTGGTTGAACTCGGGAATAAGAAGCTTGTTGTTTTGACATTGGAACCGATCATCTCACAAAACAATTTCATAGATATATATACAGTTATACCTTGTTGCTGTCAACAGTAATTATATATATATATATATATATATATATATATATATATATATATATCAGTATGGGGTTGTGGTGATTGTTGAGTTTTCGATTGAAATCACGAATCGATCATTGTTAGGCCATCATTAAAAATCTGGAAACACTGAACGGCCGTTTCGTATGTATGTTGGAGAGTCTAACGAAATGACTGAATTATGCTCAAAATTCCAATCTGTAAATCGGTAGCATTATTTCAAAATAGATGTAAGATATTTACAAACTTCAATTCTTTGTATGTCTGTAGTGTTTGTACGCTTCAATGTATGCAGTCGAAAGGGTGATTCTTCCTGGAATAGGTGTATAAAGATTATTTACAAACATATAATCCACTTATCAGCTACTAGCTGTGTCAAAATTTACAGTAGCTGTCAATAATCGGAACTGTGACTAAAAACACAACCTGGAAGCTGTTACATCTGAAAAATACTCAAAGATTGTTTTACATATAAATAAATTATCACTTTTCTATAATAAATACGGAGAATATTGCAGATTCATTCAAACAATTCGTAATGATGATACACAGCAACCCAGATACGTTGCACATCATATCGTAAACTTGATCGAATTTGATATTACTTACTGAATCTTATTAAGTAGTACAATTTAGCAAGCAAACTTTATAGGGCACGAAAGCAATAAGTTTCACAGCTATCAAGCAGTACTAACATATGGTTTGTTCTGTCTTTTTTCTTTCTTTCCGGATTTATAACTAGATACGATTACTTATCTGTGAAACAATCAATGCATGGATTCGTCTACTTATTCCAATGTTAACATCATCAACAACAACAACCATTAAAACATCTCAGCAATTAAATCCAGTTTATACTGCTGTTATAGAAGATTTCCTAAATAACCTCATTATTCATTTAGATGATCCTAATTCACGAATACGTGCCAGTGTATCACGTGTTCTCTTGAGAATCAATCAATTCGCTCCAGATCTGGTGATTAAAGTTTTAAACAAAGCTAAATTATGTCATCGTTCATCTCAATTATGTGATAAACTATTAGAATTTTGTCATTCACATTCTCAGTAATGTTCAAAAGAAAATATTATCGATAAAATGACCGAGATAAATGAGGAACGAGTGATAAAAGGATTGAAATTGTAAAGTGGTATTGGCTACATTTTTGGATAATCTATGCTCCCACACATCTAATTAAGCTTTACACTGCTGTTGGCAAAATTTTTTTCTAATTAACTTTTGTTTTTATTGGCTAGTCTTTGTGTTACAACATTTTAATACAAAATGTACAACTTATGACGATAGGTCACATATATTTTTTATTTATTTATGTGAAATTACAAGTGAATAAAAGAAACTACTACTGAGAATGTTGTTCCTTTCTTTTTCGGTGTTTCTTTTTTTTAGATTATTGGGTGATCAGTTTTTCACCTTTAAATCATATATACATTAATTGTAGTTTTTGCGCTAACTGACAAATATACACACAAAGATTTGTGTATGTGTACACTTTTGTATGTATTTAATGGGTGCTTCCTGGTATCATGTAATGTTTTTACGTTTACTAAGGTAATCCAGTATAGATATACTTTACCAACGATCTTCAACGAACAATCAAAATAATAAAAGCTGATTTTAAATATTAAAAGTGCCATTATGAATAGTTTATTGTTGGATATCATGTTTTTGATTAGATTTTGAATGTTTGATGGATTGGATGAAGAGTTTTTTTGTGTGTAACGAGTAATTAAGTTTAGAGCGTAGACGTTAAGATTGGGTTGTTAGAGTTAGGCGTATTAGGATTTTAAAACGTTAAGGATATTAGGATTTATAGCCCAATATATGGATAATCACCCTGTAATAGGTTCATTTATCATCTTTAATCCCTATATCATGTTTTTTGAATAAAGAGCTCTTTCATAAAAGCTGCATTCCGATTGATTAGGTCTTAGATCAGTTTTGAAATCCCTCTTAGCTGTCAGTGTGCCATATATTTACCGATAATGTACTAGATTTATTGGTATTTAAAAGCTTTTTTAAACTTTCATTCGACTTTTAGTTTGTATTCTAGTGATAAAGTTTATTCTAAATAATGTGGAATGTTGTAACCAAGCGACCAAATGCTGGTTTACTCATTCAACTCTGCACCATATTTGGGGTTTAAATGTCTTTAAAGTACTGCTAGTGGTTAGGATTCTAAACTTTCAGCCACTATGTCTTGGCTTTAAACCTTGCCACATCTCCTTCGGTCAGAGTAACCGGTATTGTATTAGTATCCAAATACTTAGTTAATTTATAAATTATAGACATAAGAGTACAAGTCAAAAAATTTAAACCATGCCCCTTCCCCCAATACAGTGCAGGCCAGCACAAGCCTTAAATTGTAGAAAGACTAGGTACAACGAAACCAACACGACGTCAGTTCGTGAAGTTATTGGCTGTTAGTTTGTGCAGACCGATGACGTGATTAAATGTTGGTGATGTTAGCATAATACCAAAGAGGGTTGCAATGATAGTGACATATACCTTCTTAACTTTCCAAATTTTACGTTTCAACATTGAGTCACTCACTAAATTCTTCATTATTTCGTTTTCGGACCGTATTCTTTGCTTAGTTTTTTTCACGGTAATTGACACTACGATTATTTTGATTTCTTTTCTATTCACCATGTTAATTTTAACTCGCTATGATGTGGTGTTGTGATTTTAATAGATTTGTATCTGTCCCAAGTCGTTTTTTGTGCACTATTTTAGACAATTTCTTCTGTTGTTTGAGGTCTAATAATATTAATCAAAGCGAAGTGAGTTGAATGGATATTCATCTGTCACCAAACGAGCGATTGTGGTACTCCTATATGCGTAAAAGTCACGACATAGCCTCATTGATCAAATAACATTTTTAGTTAGTCACAGTCGCTGTGGTGTATTCGTGGAGTGATGATACGACCTGTCTCCCGAATTCCAGTCGGAACCACAGATCGTGTGATTCAAAGTCTTATGTTTTTAGTACTTACTCATACATTCACAAAAAGTACCGTTCAATATGTATACACATTTCAAACTCGCTAACATTTTAGTATCACGTTAAACTGTAATTAATATTATTCGCACGCAAATCAATTGTTTGAAACCTTATTCTTCGACACCATCAAAACAGTCAATAAAATGATGCTTTTACAATTTAATTGATAATAGTTGGGACTATCCCCTTATATTTTGACTGGAATCCGATCAGACTTATTTGGCGCATATGGAAACAAGTTTATGTAGACTAAAGGGAACGTGACTAGCAGTGGAATCCGGGACTCTCATTCCGTCCTATTTGAAACTCGTCAGCTGAATTTGCCTGAATCCCAGCGTTGGTATCCACTCTGTGATCCGAACGCAACACAAGTGAGTAGCTGTCTGGATTCAGTAACTAGATAGATGACACGTTGGCGTCTGGAGACATAGGTAATGTGTTTGAATCCTAGAGTAGACACTAACTCGGATAGAGTTACCTCCTGCTGATGAGTCTATAATCAAACAAAACTCGCATCCTGTGATTTGTTGTTGGTCACATCCCATCTATTTTATGTAGCGATATTTTTACCATTTGATTGAAAATATACGGTACTCTAAGCTGAAAAATTTCTTCAAATCTAACGAATATCACTGTAACTATTCAAAAACAACTATGCAGAACTTTCCACCAAATGAGAAACAATTTTTACTAAAACGATTAATTGTACTCTATAGTAAATTGAATCTGTTTAAGAAATCTAATACTATTGTACTCATATCGAGTATTGTATTGATTAGGTTCCGAGTTTCCTTGAACCGATGCTTTGACATTCCTTGCATTTCTATGTAATTAACTTGTACATTATAATTAATAATAAGTATCATAACAGGTTGATGACTCAGTAGCTTGAAGACAAACGCTGTTGTTCATAGCTACAGGTTAGGGGTTTCAGTTTCATTTTGCTTAGTAATAACACGGATGCATCGACATATGACTAGTGAGTCTTGAATAAGACTGGAGTTGCAACTTGTATTTTATTATTTGACTACTGTTCAAAATAATTATTATTTTATATTATTTTGAAATATGTTAAATTTTAGTCAAGGACTTTTCGATTTCATCTTCCGTCGTAAAACACATTTCTTGATGCAGTGAGTTACTCATATAGATAAAAACCAATAGCGTGGAAGATGTTAGCTTGGAAATATTGAAAAAATATCAGACAGTTTTTAGAAACTCAGTATATTCAAGTTGACCAATGATCGATAAACCAAACTGTATTCATACATTTTACTAAGTAACCATCCAGGACACTGCAAAATAAATTATTATGTCATCCTATTACAATAAGCATCACGACATCTGTAGTATGAGTAATTGTTGCCACGTGCCAAATAATAAAGCCTAATAAGCTGCAGTATAGGTTCTTCAGTAAGAAGCTGTACAAGTATGGAACTACCAGTGTGATACCTTCGAAAATCACGACTAGCTTTCACATAATTTTCATTGTCAAATAGAAACAGTTTAGATAGGAATTAACATTTAAAGTAAATTAGTTGGTAAGAAAAGATCTTTTACTCACCACAAAATTTCCTCACACACCCACGTGACTTGTTTTAACCTTAGGGCATAAACTATTCTAATCTTCCTACTTGTCCTATCATCTATATGTTTGACCATGCCAATTACTAATGCATAACATTGGTTAGTGATTTATACAAGTGTGTATGCCAGTACTTGTGTGTCTGTATACGTACTTGTTTCTCCTTCATACTCACAGAGTTAACTATTTCTTCCACTTCAGTTCACGTGCAATTCATCTCGCCTCTTATCATTCGTTAACATTATCAAATGTTTGAAATATATGTTCCTCAAATACTTGTACATTAGACTACTCATATCTAGGTTGCAATTAACAAGATAGAGGTATAGGAGGAATAATAGGAATTGAAGAGGGAGGTTGATTATGAATACAGTGGTCTTGAGTGCTGTTAGAGGTATGAGAGCGTTTATCACTTCCCGGTTGCCCACACCGTGGAAGGGTTCTTCTGGAGGTACCTGAAAAGGAAATCGGATTAGAAGCGGTCTTAGTGACCTGAGAGCGTGACCGCAGTGCCCAAGGTACAACTGCTTGAGGTCGGTCACACACGACCTTTTTATGGGCAATTTTTGTGTTAGCTCCATACTTGTTGAGACCTTACCGCCGGAGACGGGTATCCGTGGGATAAGGCGAAGTGTGCATTTTTAGGGTCGACCTTTTCTAACCCCACCCTTCCTTGTGGTAAGGCAGCATCGTTGTTATGCTGGTTGTCTGAAGGAAACAACTTACTGCCGTCACACCTCTGTACAATCAGCAGTACGACTTCGCCTTCGGACCTTGGGTTTGTTGTTTTTAGTCTTACCGCTCTTCAACCGACCTTTCTGACGTGGTAGGACCTTGAGGAACAGTTGTTCCAGTCAGTATAGCTTGGTTGCTTCATCACGATAGGCAAGCCCGACCACCACGTCAAGGTAGCAACAACGGTCGGGAATTAACAAGATATGTCTACAGAATATGTACGAAGTAAATAGGATGTATATTTCATTAACACCGATATCATTTGGTCATATGAAGTCAGATCCCAGGTCAATAAACATTCACAATATCACATCAAATATATTTTTTGTTATATCCCAATGAGTAGAAAAATTGTATTTCTGACGGTTCGTGACTTGATGTAAACCACAAGTTTAAATAGTACTGAAATACACATCAACACTTATTTCTGATATGACATACAGAAGTGACAGATTATTGGTTACTTCGTGACCCTAACTAAACCTCTGTTACTTGATTGAATATTCAATTTATTAACAACAGGTGTGGCGCATTTTCTAAGGTCCTGCTAAAGCCTACAACGGATTTAAATCATTTCAAATGTCAAATTGTATCATCTACAAGGTTTGTGACTTGTGATAATTACTCCTAATGTGTCAATTGTCAACGAATATAAGTAATTTCCGATTGATATTTACTGAACTGAAGCAATTTAGTGCCCACTCGCTTGTGATTTCTTTGTTTAAACGGTTTTTGATAGATAGTAATGCGGTTCTAGACTCAATATCCACTACCAATATCGAGTTAAAGACTGATTTGAGAAAATTTAGCATTTTTATGTTTTTGTTACATGAACTTATATTAGTTATTTTCTACAGTTGAACAAATCTATCTATACCCAAGTTCACACTTTACAATTCTTTTATCTGTGTACAGAGACATGAAAACAAAACTAATATGGCTCCTACTAACAATATACCACATACGTTAAAACAATCATTATTAGCCAATAAGAAACAAGATCCATTATGCATTGATTATCCTATGTTAGCTGATATTTTACCGAAACCGCCCGAATTACCTGTACCAAATGAACCGAATTTTATTCCAAATGAATTATATGATTTGACAATCGGTAAATATCACAATGGTATGAAACGTTGCATCGATGTTTATTCACAGGTAAAATTAGATCACTCTCAGTGAATGTAGTTTGTATTTATGGTTTTGGGAAATTAAAAATAAACAAAAACAGTGTAATGTAATTTTTAAAAAGATGAATTTCTTTTCTTGTTTTTTTACTTGTGTGATAGAGTTACTTATAATAGGAGCAGATGATTATTGTGGCCGTTTATTGATTAACTTTCTCTGTTTCGCTTATAGGCACAGTGACCTACTATACCAACGATACAGTAACCAATAAACAACAACCAAGACCTTAACACTTATTGGTCCTAGAGCTTGTTCCAATCCAGTGTGCAATCAGAAGGCAAAGTTAGCTAATTTATATCTTCTCTATGATGCTCCATTTCATTATAAGTCAAGTACTGAAGCATGAGTTAACGGACCATAGCATAGGCTAAATATCAAATTATATCTTACATACACTCAAGCCTTAAGTGACAGAGGGGAACGGAACAAAGGACGAATAATTAATTAATAATAGTTAAGGAATAGTAAAGTGTTTAGCTACGGTTAATGAATCCAACAAAAACTTACGATACACGTAGTATAGTAGCATAATGATCCAGTCATTTGATAAGTGTACACTAAAAATATTTAGTTTGGTAACCTGCAAAATATTTCCAAAAATTACAGCTTTCTTAATATTGGTTTCGTTAGATCATTAAGGATTATGTATTTTTCACAATTGTTGATTCCATGTCGTCTAAAAGTGTTGTCTGGTGTTTTTCGCAGTCATGGATGAGCATCTTTGTGGAGTTAGTAAACTAGGTTAGGATAGCTTTTCAATACCATTCTTGTTTTAAATGGTTCTTCAGTTGACAAAATTCTTAAAAGGAAATCATGAAATTCAACTAACTTTCATAGATTACTTCCGTTTTTAAACGTTCTTCACTTTTTGTAGTCGCTGGCTGTATAGTTTGATTTTCTCGTCGTATTAGAGATTGGTTGAACTTATAAGCGTGAATCCTTTCTTGTTATCACAATCATATCATGGTCTGTGTCAACTATATATCTTAAGTTGATTTCTATGTTTCGGTCACGGGTGTATACTATTGATGAGTCACAAACTAGAACGAAATACTTACCTATGCCTGTTACCCTTCGTAGAGGAGCATGGGCGGCTCACCAGCATTCTCCATCCAACTCTATCCTGGTAATCCTTTCCAGTTGCTATTCATCCTTTTCATGTCTACTTCCAATTCTTTGACCTTTTTCTGTTTCCCTTTAGTATCCCAAGTTAGCGCTTGTCTCGTGATGCAGTTTGATGATTTTCATAATGTGTATCCTATCCACTTTCAACGTCTTTTCCTGATTGCCTCTTCATCTGGAAGCTGGTTTGTTCTCTCCCACATAGACCAAAATACTTACCATATATCAAATGGCTTCTTATAATTCTTTGGTTTATATTCATATGTGTTACAAATTACATTCAAAATGAATAAATCATTACAGACGAAGTGTATATTTTATGGAAATTCTCAACATATGGTGTATATTTTTTAGTAAACGGAATACACCCATTAAAACATTAAATAAGAAAGATTGGTTCAGTGAAGAGTTCTCTTTTCGGCGAATTTATTTCCAAAGCTGAACAATCGCAAATATACATACTTATTTTTCGGGATGATAATAATTACAATAATAATGATGATGAACTTCTGTTAGATATGGTGACGCTCCAAAATGCCCTGGTATAGCCGAGGATGGGGAGAGTCAGCTCTCCCTTTCGAAATGCTCTCACATGGCCACGCGTATATAGCCTCTCCCAGGGAGGTCCTACTCACTGCCTTCTCGTGGCGGGGGTGTTGTTTACGAAAATGGGAGGACGAAAAGTGAATGTCCAGCGCTTTAACCGGAATTCAAACCAATGGTACACATGAGCTCCAGTATCCTGAAGGAACAAATAGCGTATGAACCAATTGATGGTTACCGGCTTCCATGGAACTGCATCTCCTTGCGATGCTCCACTGCCTTGTGGATCAGAAATTCAGGTCGAAGGCTCGGGGAGTGGCCCCCTAAGATAACCACCTGCTTCTGTTTGGGCACCCGAGCAGTGTCACAGCCCTCACACAAATCAAATGAGATTTGTGTGGCGCATATATATTTGGTGCCTCCTTGTACTAATATCTATGTGTTACAATAAATTAATAAATAGACATGGTGACAGTGAGGTAGAATAAAGAAAGGTATTTAAAAAATTTTTAAACAAGGAAACTAATAATTGTTCGATTGTTATGGGCTTAAATATTCATCATAAAGATGGATAGGGAAATTATCATTGGGAAAGGATGGTTCAGTATGATAAGATAAAATGTTGAAATTGAGATAAAATGTAATCAGGAGGATCATAGATACAGAAATAAATCAGTTGGGGGTAGAAGGTTTAAGGAGATGGAAAGGGAAGCACATGGTTGTAAAGGGAGAAGAGTATAAAGAAAAAATTTAAAAAATCACGAGACACTAAGACCATGGTAGAAGAAGAGATTGTATCAGGCTCTTTCGGACACACAATTTTGGTTTTCCCAGATGTATGACTATTGCTTCGGCAATGTTAATAAGGTGTAATATAACTGCCTGATAATGTTTTTAAGACCAACAATGAAAAAGTCACAGTTAAACTATCTGTTGATAAGAACGTACTTTAATAGTTACAATCCTTTTATAAATCATGATAATCAGTTCTGTTTTTATGAATTTATATGAAATGTACTTAATATGTGTATACATAGTTTGAATCAAGTTGCTTACAATCTAGTATAGTGATTATGTTTACTTGTTAATTAGATCAAATGGATGAATCAATCAAATTACTGACAAGTTTTTCTATTCCTTTAAAGTTTCTAGTTACTACCTGTTTCCTACATTGTGTTTTAAATCAATATTTATCGCTTAACTTACAAGGCTACTGGTTAACCCCAAAATATTCCTTATTGTTTTAACAGTTGAATTTATGGGTCAATTGAAGCTAGACCACCATTGGAAACCTGGAAGCACTGGACGGGCGTTTCGTCATACTGTTGGACTCCTCAGCAGTGCGCATCCACGATCCTACCTCGTGAGATTCAATTGACTCATGAATTCAACTATTAAAAATTTCTATGGTATCCACAAAATCCCTCTCTGATTATATTCATTATTTTTTGTTAAGGCGTCTTTTAGTATTCTTATTTTTTGTTCTATCATCAGAGGATGTTATTAGTTTGAGAATAAGGCTGGGTTTAGTGTGACATTTTGTTAGTCGCCTACTTATTCATTGTTAAAAAAAATCCCATCACACATTATGATCAGTCAGTACCTGACGGTTACAACTGTGGGATAAGTCATTGAGATATTAATTTTTGAATAGATTTCAGTAAGTAGTTTCACATCAGTAGAAACCGTTCAGTGACATTAAAAGTGCGAACTGATCAGTTTTCTGCTTTTGTGTTTGACGATAGGAAAACAAACACTTTTGTCCAATTAACATACATGAAGTTATTTTAACCTCCTACATAAGAGCATAAGATATTAATCAACTGTCAAATCTATGCTTGTTTTACTAGGACAACAAACAATGCAGATTACTATAGAGGCGATTAATGGAAATGGTTGAACTGCTTAATTTTTACATCAATTACCCAATAATTGCATCAAAAGATACCACGTTATTGTCAAGTGATTGAATTTAGATGTTATAACGGAACGAATATTGTAGAAGTCGGAACTGTTTTATCGAATTATTATTATTATTGATAATAATCCTATCGTATAAATGCTGAGTAGTTAAATTATTACATATATTCCACTTTTTATAAACTCCCAGCCCCTCTGAGGCTACTGCCGGTCCCAAGCCCGGATAAACGAAGAGGGTTGGGCATGGGGTTAACCACCCTATCCAATAGAAAACTACTTACTCACGTACGCCTGTTACTCGTGAAGGAGCATAGGCCGCTCACCAGCATTCTCCATCCAACCCCGTCCTGGGAAATCTTTTCCAGGTCCTTCCAGTTTTTCTTCACCTTTTTCATATCTGCTTCTAATTCCCGACGTAATGTGTTCTTTGGCCTTCCTTTTTTCCGCTTCCCTTCAGGATTCCAAGTTAGGGCTTACCTCGCGATGCAGTCTGATGATTTCCGTGTTGTATCTCCTATCCATTTCCATCGTCTTTTCCTAATTTCTTCTTCAGCTGGAAGTTGGTTTTTTCTCTTCCACAAAAGGCTGTTGCTGATGGTATCCGGCCAATGGATGTTGAGTATCTTGCGTAGACAGCTATTTATAAATACTTGTACTTTCTTGATTATGGTTTTTGTAGTTTTCCAAGTTTCAGCTCCGTACAGTAGAACTGCCTTGACGTTCGTATGGAAAATTCTCACTTTGATATTGGTAGAAAACTAACTCGCTAAAAAAAACGCTAATGGTTAAACAGCTAGTATTAAAACCTTAAAGTCTTAGATTTTAATCTCTAGTAGGACCATGAATATGCATTGCTTTTAAAAGTTCTATACTAGAACATAATCACTATTCTATTGTTTTATTTTATTTATCTCTTTAGACAGATATTACTGAATTATTTGAATTAAATGAATTAAAAAATAAATTGAACAATTTAATACTACTTATTAATGAATATCCAAAACAAATAAATCAAATTAAAAATACATTAAATTATCAAATGAAATTAATTATTGAAGAGATTAGTTTAAATATCTATGAAATTATGAAATCACGTATAGATAATTTATCGAAATCATATGATAAATCTATTGAACATATTCGTGGTTCATGTAGAACACAATTAGCTAATACAATCTCTGTATTAAATGGATTACTCAATACTGCTAAACGACATGATGGAACTTTAATTGAAGTTAGTTATTTCATTTTGTTCATGTATGAGATTTTTTTAAAGGGAAACTTGAAAATCATATATGAGGATTGTCCTAACTGTTCCTGCTACCTTGATGTGGTAGTCGGACTTGCCTATCATGATGAGCTATACTGGCTTGAATAATCACTCCTCAAGGTTCTACCATGCCAGACAGGTCGATTGAAGTACCGTAAGACTAAAAGCAGCAAAACCAAGGTCAAAAGGCAAAGTCGTACGGCTGACTGTACAGAGGTGTGCCGGCAGTAAGATGTTTCCTTCAGATAACCATCATAACAGTGATGCTGCCTTCCCACTAGGAGGGGTGGGTTAGAAAAGGTCGACCCTGAAAATACACACCTCACCTTAACCCACGAATTTCCATCTCCGATAGTAAGGTCCCAACAAGTACAGAGCTAACACGAAAATTACTCACAAAAAGGTCGTGTGTGACTGATCTCAAGCAGTTGTCCCTTGGGCACTACGGTCATGCTCTCAGGTCTCTAAGACCACCTCTAATCCAATTTCCTTTTCAGGTACCTCCAGAAGAACCCTTCCACGGTGTTCACAATCGGGAAGTGATATCCGCCCTCATACCTCTAAAAGCACTCAAGTTCACTGTATGAGGACTGTAGAGTAGTCCTCAATTATATACGTTGATAATCAATATTTCGTCGGTTGATATGATCAGTTTACGATTATAAATACTCTTAAATTAGTTAGTTTATTTTTCAGTGACCTAAAATAGTTTCTAGCCTGTTAGTTGCAGATATTGAAAAAAAACAGTCATAAAAGAATAGTAACTAACAGTAAATTAATAATTTGTGGGCCTTCGTATTTAATTACAAGGTTTCTAACATCATGTTGTGTAATATTTGTTTAATTCTTCTCATTGAAAAGTAGTTATTGTGATCTTAAATACTCTGTGGTATGTTGATCAGAATGAAACAAAGAATCTATGTGACTAAACCGAGAAGAAAATATTACATTTAATAACAGCTTTCTAAATAACTGACAGCAATGGTGTAGATCAGTGTACACGAGAAATTCGTAAATGGAGTTTGTTGGGATTGTAGAAGCCTATTACGGATTGAATCCTAGTCAAACAACCATGAAAATCTAGAAATTATTATATAACTACTTTGTCCTAGCAGAAGACTCTTCTGTCTATCCACGGATCCTTCATGGATCAAAATTGGAGCCTTTAGGTCCCATCTCTTTGATACTCATCGGAGTGATATTACATGAGGAACTCTTGAATAAACCTGGGAAAACTATCAAGATATCTAGGAGAAACTTATAGTCATTCATGAATACAGGACACCATAGGAAGTATCTCTTTAATATTAGATCAAGTATTTCGCTGAGGACCGTGAAGACTTCAAGGGTGCTTCAAAGTCAAGAAGATTTTCGACTAATTGTATTGATGAAAACACTGAATGTATTAAATCTCTTATATTTTTGGGCTACTGAATCAGTATACGTTTGATCACTTACGTGCTGGATTTGTTAATTTTTTCTCTGCACAAGATTCTAGCATATATCTTAGTGGTTAAGAAAACTGTTTGCTATAAATGAAACACCAAAACAATTGAAAGTTCATATTTATGAGAAATTCTAGGAATGTTTTGAATCGTGGAAATGGAGTTAGAATGACGATAAAACTAAAATTAGGGAGTATTTTATTGAAGAATGCGATTATTCTGATTCATGCTTTATGAAATGACATTCTCATACCCTTATTTAAAAAATTTCTGGGAAGAACTGGATCATTTTGTCATTATATTTGTATACCACTCACTTCAGTTATTCGAAGTATTAACTGTGTAATACTTACTCACATATTTCGCGTATTTCTTACTTAAACATTGTTCAGTTTTAATGATTGCAACTTTTAATTTATCATACTTTATGAACTGAAAGGTTAGTAACAGTTTTGCTAATCATTTTCTATATACCTTGGAATATGTTCCCTTGAAGATTCGAAATCTGTCAGTAGTACATAGTAACATATGCAAGACTAAGATCAACATTATTACTTTCTAAGAATTCTAAATTTATCTGTTATTCTTCATTGAAATGTTAACGAGGAATTGCAAAGAGAACTCTCGAGTGATCATTAACTATTTTAGTGATTATTTCTAGATTTTTTGTTTATCAATATGAGATCCATATTCCATTGATAAAGTTTGGCTTATAACTTGTCGATCTTGTTAACAACATTCATTAGTCCTTATTTCTGAGTGAAGATTAATTTGTAAGTATGGTATTAAAATAGAGAGCACTCTTTTATCTTTATTCAATAAAGTTATGATTGAATTAATCAATTTTCGCTGTTCTTTCTTAAGTAATATTTTGGTACACTTACTTCAAAACTAGTGGATTTCAACAGTGTCGAATACAAGACGATTATTCACTAATGCAATGGAAGATGTTTGATCAATATCCTGAACTAATTGAAGTTAGATATATAAACCATTAGGTACTGGGTCTAAATATTAAGCACTCAACGCATGTTTCGATGTTCCTTGTTCAGTTCCCGATCTAGTCATGGATTCCAACTGCTGATGGTCCTGCACTAAAGTGAAACAGATGCCTAGTGTCCCATGATTTTCAATAATTGTCTAAGAATAATTTATGATGTTAACTATGAGAATTATAAAATTAAACTGTTGAATAGTTTTCCTGTAGTTCGGTTAGTAATGAACATTATTTTTTCTCAGAATTCACTTCGTAAGCGAATTGTGGAATTAGAAACTGTCTTACAACAAAATGAATTAGATATGAAATGTCTACAAGAAAAGTTCAAAGAACTGGAAGACAAATACGACTCATTAAATCTTGAAATGCCAAATATTGTTATTTCAAGGAGTTCCTCAGTGGAATTAATACCAACACGAGCCATTCCACCTGTTTCTGTTGTACTAGTTCATGAAGACAAATCCGTACAAGTCGATTCTTTTGATAAAAAGAAGGAGTCACTGGAGAAAGAAATAAAAAGTCTATTAGAGCAGATTGAGGTCAGTTTTGTTCTTAACAGATAAACTATTAGTTTTGACCAGTAACAATTCAGGTGACTTAATTCCTTATAGTCAGATTCGCTTCATATGTACATACTTTACATAATGTTAGTACTGAAACTTGTCTGATAAAGAACGCAGCATAATAAACATTTTTCATAGAACATAACGGTAATATACTGTATTAGATGTCATGGCACCGGATTAGCAAACCTATTATGAAATAAATGTACAGATGTTGTTACTGATCAACATAACTCTAAACGCAGTAGGTTTAGCACAATCTCTTTGCAAATTGTTATCGATCAGCTGATCACACTTAAAATCAAGCGGTATGTTATCTGATAAATATCTCAGTCGCATTACTAATAATTGCGTGATTCAAGTTCCAATCCAATATACGTTTAAAGATAATCTAAATTATTGAAATAAACACCGAAGAATTATAAAGAGTTCTGAAACTCAAAATTAGGGGAAAGACAAGAATCGGATGCACCTACGTCATTGCAAACGATGTTGAGCCATATCATTCAAAGTCTCTAACCTCCGGTTACGATAATCACGCAAACCCCAATCAGGTGGTCTACATCTACTAACATGGCTCGATCCAATAGTTGATAACGTCATGGACCGATGGAATGTTTTGGTTTGGCTGCCCATAGCTTCTTACAACTTACTCCTACACCAGAAAACATAACCCATCGAAGTAGGCGGGAGTTGCATATACTTATCACATTTCCTAACCTTCTCAGTTGGTTAAAATTCACTGCCTCACTAATCGATATAATATCATTACCTAATACCCCATCCCTAACCTAAGCTTTTCTCACTGGATGGTCTCAAAATACACAAGGAATTCTTCGAAGATAACTGTCTAGAGCTTGATGGTTTTTATTGGTGGTCTTGCAACCGTCAGTCCATGATTTAATCTATGTAAAACAACAATATTAATGATCGAAAATCAGGTACAGTGATAACATTGAACCTTATGATGTAAATAGTACTTCTAACATTTATGTTTATTTTATAAAACTTTCAGATCCTTACTTACATACTTACGCCAGTTACGCCTAATGGAGCATAGGTCGCCGACCAGCATCCTCCAACTCACTCTGTCATGGGCCTTCTTTTCTGGTTCCATCCAATTCTTGTTCATTTTTCTCATGTCTATCTTCATTTCCCGGCGTAATGTGTTCTTTGGTCTTCCTCTTTTCCTTTGGCCTTGAGGATTCCATGTGAGGGCTTGTCTTGTGACGCAGTTTGGTGCTTTCCTCAATGTGTGTCCTATCCACTTCCAGTGCTTCTTCCTGATTTCTTTCTCCGCTGAGATCTGGTTTGTTCTCTCCCACAGTAGGTTGTTGCTAATAGTGTCCGGCCAACAGATCCGAAGTATTTTGCGTAGACAACTGCTGATAAACACTTGTATCTTCTGGATGATGGCTTTCGTGGTTCTCCAAGTTTCCGCCCCATACAGTAGAACTGTCTTGACATTTGTATTGAAAATCCTGGCCTTTGTGTTGGTTGACAGTTGCTTTGAGTTCCAGATGTTCCTCAGTTGTAAATATGCTGCTCTTGCTTTGCCGATCCGCGCCTTCACATCTGCATCAGATTCACCCTGTTCATCGATGATGCTGCCCAAATATGTAAAGGTTTTTACATGTTCCAAATCTTCTCCGTCAATTGTGATTGGATTGGTGCATTCTGTGTTGTATCGGAGAATCTTGCTTTTCCCTTTGTGTATATTGAGATCTACTGCTGCTGAGGCTTCTGCTACACTGGTTGTTTTCTTCTGCATTTGTAGTTGCGATTGCGATAGGACGGCAAGATCATCTGCGAAGCCTAGATGTCCACTGTATCCCGCGTTTCCCTTCAGATGTTGACGTCTTCATGATCCAGTCGATCACCAGCAGAAAGAGAAAGGGGGAGAGTAAGCAACCTTGCCTGACATCGGTCTTTACTTCGAACGACTTTGTCAACTGTCCTCCATGCAAGATTTCGCAGTTTAGTCCATCATATGAATTCTGTATCGAAGAGGCTTCCATAGTGTTGTCCTGTCCATGCTATCAAATGCTTTTTCGTAGTCAATGAAGTTGATGTAGAGTGATAAATTCCATTCAATTGATTGTTCCACAATGATCCGTAGAGTTGTGATTTGGTCTTTCAGATCCTAGATATTCACATTTGAACTAGTCATGTTTTCTTATAATATATCTGTAGAAATATCGAACAAGAAATATTAATAACAATACTAATTGACTATGAATATTTGTTTGAAAACTTTTTTTTTCAATTTCAGGTTCTTAAATCTGCTTTAAGTGCTGTCCAATCACAAGTAAGGTCATTGACAGAACAACGTGACCAATCAGAACAAAAGGTTAATGGATTAAATAATCAATTGAATGAATTTAAAACAAATTATGTTAAATTAGAAAAACAATTACTTGATAAAACGAATGAATTAACAATGTATAAACAGAAAGTAACTTCAGCTGAATCACGACTTAATGAAATGTTAGCATCAATGAATAATTTAAGATCGGAGAAAATTAAATTAGAAAATGATTATGCAAATAATCGAGATAGTGAAATGGTAAGACTTCCAATTACACATGTTATGTCTTCTTAATTTAGTATTGTTATAACTGTGCCCTGTGTCCAGTTAATTTATAACATAATGATACCGCCAATTAAAGAACAGTGAATTATCGACCAGACCAATGACGCATAAAACATGTACGAGCAGTCTAGAGTCTTTATCGGTTCGGCTTACCGCCTAGTCCCACCTGTTGAGTTCAGAACACTAGTCTCAACCTCTGCGATATGAACCATTTATTTCAAACATACCAGGTTTATATACAAACCAAACAGACCACATCACACCATAAAATAGGAAACAACATTTGTACAAGATTTAGCCATATGTGGCTGTGAATGTAGGAGACCATAATTAATAAACTGGGATTAACTTAAGAATGGCAAATCGTATAATAATAGTTCATGGGTCAAAATAAGACTCATAATAAGAGGGACATGAATATGAATAGTTTAGTTACTTAACAATTATATGATAAAAAATATACGTTTAGTATTTGTCCATAAATGGATCCCAAAAGTTACCATTCATTATTCTCATCGGGATATAACAAGTATAATAAAGTTAAATCGGTTGAGTAATTGATTTAACGGATGAATTGAAATATTCTTTTTCTAATCTATGGTATACTACGTTCCCACCATTATAATACGGTACTAAAATTGGTCTGGGTGACTGAGTTTATAGTACAGCTAGATTAAATACTAGGAAGATCTGTTATACTAGACCATGTTATATCAAATAAACAATACAAGACCAAGAATAGAGAACTGAAATAACGCCAGACAATATTTCACACAATTACAAGCAGTTGCTTGCAATGAGTCTGCATTGGGAATCAATAAAGGCTAAGTCACACATTTGATAGTCAGTAAGTTGAGTGCCTATTTGTCTACACTCGGTGACCAATCATATTTGCTTTCATTACCACACATCAATAATCTACAAATGATGAATCTGTAAGTTCTAGTCAAATTCGGGTTAATGTACACTGTAGTAACTAATTATTAATTTACAGTTTCAATTGAGAGATTGATAACCTCTGCTCAATAAATCAGCTCAGAGTCGATCATACTGGTTTAGATTCATCCACTATTAATTTTCACGTAGATCGTGAATTTCAGTATTCCTTCACACATATCTTTCAATTATTTCTTTCCGAATCATACAATACACTCCCTATTAACCGTGTTTAGATTTTACCTATTAAATTAAATGATTTAACAATGAAGTGTGCAACAAATTATATTGAAAAGTTAAAAACTATCTTGATTAATAACATTCACTATTAAGGGATTTACTGGTGGGATAACGTTTATTACATTCTCAGAAGAATTATAAATGATAAACTATTAGAAAAATCATTTCACTGAAATAATCCTTACAATTCTCTTTTACACTAATAGGACATTAAATTGCTTAGGACAAATAATGAACGATTTACCTGCGTGCACGATCCACTCACTCTATACTAGTTACCCAGTCACTACTGTCCTACAAGGCTTCAACACAACTCAAATTGAGAACAAGTGATTCGTCTGACTAGTACGTCTATCAGTAAACAATCAACGAGTGATATTTAAGTACAAAGGGTAGGGAAATATCTATATGATACATTGTTGTAACGGGCGGTGTCCGAATAACTGATACTGATACACGGTATGCTACATGCTATTCCCCCCCAACTGATTAATTGAGCGAGAACAAGAGAGTGAGCACGAAGGCATATTGGACTACCTAATTGTTAGGTCCCGATAAGCATAATGAATGGTAACTTTTGGGATCCATTTATGGACTTGACTGGCTGGGCTAGGCGGAAAGCAGGACCAATCAGGACTCTAGACTGCTCATACGGGTTTACGCGTCATTGATCCGACCAATAAGTCACTGCCCTCTAATTGGCGGTATTAACACGTTATACATTAACAGGGCACACAGGCCACAAGCTATAACACTACTACTTCTGATTGGCTTGCCATATCACACATCAAATGCCTATCTATCTAAGAAAGCAGTCAATCACTTTTTTCTTTCCCCCACACAACATTCACACTATATGGAACCAAATAAAGCGCAGAAAAAGAAACCTCGTATAGATCTATGTTATGCTGACACCATTAACTGTTCGTCCCAGCGCACTCAACAAGACAAATCATACATGAGAAGTATGAACACTGTAAAATTCGATCATATTTATAAAACATTAAGAATGCAATATAAATATGAAATTCCCCTGATGGTCAAAAAGACTGGATATTTGCAGTTTAAAGTTAACTGAATCTTGGTAAATCTAATTTAAGCTTTTGTGGATGCGACCGTTATTATACTTCCTAAAAGTATGTTAATTCATGATTTCAAATAGTTCTTGAAAATGAATATCAATGAGAATAGAGACAGCATGAAATGCTTACTGTCTATTAACTTTATTCGTTTAACGCTAAATACAAACACTGTGGTTAACAAACATGTTCATAAGTTAGAACAAAACTGTTATGTCTACGCATATGCTTAACTGGCTTTTTCTTGATACTGACACCCCGAATCAGATGACGTGTAGTGAAAACACAGAGACTGGTGAAAAGGGTTTATTTGACTACCAAAATATATCAAAATGGTCTGCCAACACACAAGTAAAACTCATATTTTTACTTCGCAGATTTTCTCCGATTTCGGATTCAAGTGCTAAAGCAATCTGTGTTATCTAGGAGCGACTTTGACCTCCAACTGCTTTGGTACGGCCGACAGTGAGGAGAGTCAGCCCTCGCTCTCGAAATGGTCTTACATGGCCACACATATATAGCCTCTGTCAGGAAAGTCCTACTCATTGCCTTATCGTGGTGGTGTTGTTTACGAAATTGAGAGGACGAAAAGCGAATGTCTGGTACTTTACCCGGGTTGGTGGACACGGAGAGTCCACCTAGGGGAGTTGGAAAACTCTGATTTCAAATAAATAGTGCAAGTGGGCTCCAGTATCTTGAAGGAACCAATTGTTGGTCACTGGCTGCCATGAGACTGCACCTCCTTACGCTGCTTCACTATTCTGTGGATTAGACCTCTGGGTCAAAGGCTCGAGTAGTTGCCTCCTAGGAGAACCGTCTGCTTCAGTCTGGGCACCCAAGCAGTATTCCAGCCCTCACATAAGTAGAATGATGAAGTATGGCGCACATGTATTTGGTGCCTCCTTGTACCAATGTTTATGTGTTTAGATAAATAAATCGAAGCGACTAACAAATCCGTATCAATCATTCAAGAAGCAGTTCTTGTAGTAGTTGTTGTTAATAATCAGTGTAAATCTACTTTAGCATGAAAGTACTTCAGGAATATCCAGTGTTTTCGACAAAACAAAGATGATAAATTAAGCTTTGTAAGTTTTTTCTCCTTTTCTCAGTTACAATTAAAACAACAATTAGATGATTTATCAAAAAATAAGGAAAGATTAGAACATGAATGTGATTCACTACGTAACGAATTAGCGCGTTTAAATCAAAAACCAAAAGTTCTAGAACCAACTACTGAAATTTCAAGTGCTTCTGCTCTTCGCGAACAGGCCCTTATAGCTGAAGTAAGTCAGACTAAGTCATGCAGAAATTATTATTTACTAAATGAGTTATTATCTAGAATATATTGTTGATTTGAAGAGTATTCACAGATACTTTTTACTACCAGCAAAGATGGATTTCGGCTATCATTTGAGTCCAGGACGCACATTTCGTCTCATTTCGGACTCGTCAGTTGGATGTACCTGCATTCTAGAGTTGATGTTCACTCCAGCACTCGAACCTAGTACGGAAAGAAACGTGCGTCTCTGATTCCACTGTTAACCACCATCCATCTTTGACCAAAATACTTGTGAGTTAATAGTAATATCGAAGCAATCCGCACAGGATATGCATATGCCAATAAGAGACCGACCAATTGCAGTCCTGAACATTAATGGGAAGATTCAAAGAAATAATACAAAACGAATTTGTATTTTTTACTAGTTTATAATATTTAACGAATCATTTTAACCTAAAGTGATATGCTGACCCATTGTGGACATGTAACGTATCTGTGCTCAAATGCTATCTGAGGACCAAGCACATTAGGTGAGGAATTAGAGAGGTGTCAGTCGAATGAAAGGCGTTGATTATGTACTTAGTCAAGATTCTAGTCTGTAGTTTGCCGTTTGAATCGAAAGGACCGATTTTAATAAACCCATGGTTTGTGTACACTTTATCCAGCTGCCAATTAAAACTGCCTAATTATTTGTCAGTCTTTTCATTTGCATGGCTTGTCGGATTAACACGTAGAAAATTAGTTTAATCAGAGATAAGATTGAACAGTTAAAGTATTTTATTGATTAGATGTGGCATAATGTTGAAGTACACCAACATCAAAATTATATTTTGGGTACAATATAGAGTTCTCAGCGCAAAGTATTTCAACAAGTTTCCTTTTCATATTTCTTGGTCGATCCTGACGATGAATATTGAGCGATAGCCAGTTTAGATGTTACCAGTTCAGGAATAGATATCTGAATAATGTTCATTCTTTTCAATGCATATTGCCAGCCATCACGATGTTTTTGATTGTACTTTTTCGTAACTTGTGCAGCAAACGGTTGTTAATTTTTCATAAACTTGTTTGTCAACAAGTAACCAACAGAAACCAAGGATTACGTTTTATGTTTTTGACATGCTTGAATGCTATTACGAGTTCACTTATTCGGTAAACGGAACGAAGTTCACAGATACAGTGACAGGATATGTTATTGTAATCCGTTGTCTCCGGCCCTGCTAACTAGATCAAGAAGTCTTGATGTAAAATACGAGGTCACTAAACACACACATCAAGCTTATTTATACAATGATAGAAACACATTTGGGAGAGCCACAAACTAGCGTACTAAAGAAATCCGTCAACCAATGACAGTCAAGGATTTCCGAGTGGGAAATGTAAGCTATAGGTCAACTAAGCGTCTCCTGGCGCGAAAACATGAATTCAAATTTTCAGAATAAAATTGCAAAATTAGGACCTTTTCCAAGTGAGTTCTCGGGATCTAACGTCCTCGATAGTTTTTAAGTGAAAAACATTCACGAAAATATACTGTAAGTATTTTCATTGTGGAGTAACATTACCTGGTATAAAATCGAAAACTAGAAACACACTGAGACCGCTTTCTTATTGTGGGCACTACGCAGAAAGAAAGTCCGTTTAGTGGAATTACAAGATACTTATGCATTGTGTATATTTAGTCTACAGTCTTCCATTCCCATTTTGTTGTGTTCTTCAATCCAAGTTAGTTCTGGACTGTCCTCTCTGACTTCTCTTCTGATCTCTAAAGTATTCTGCATATTCTGTGCTTTTTGACCTCCTGGAATTCTTTTCGGCTGTCGACTGTAGCAAATTCACGCATCGTTTCGCCATATACTATTTATAAGTAATCTTGTGAGTAGCATGCAGCACCCAACTACTTTAGAAGTAGAAATAAAACATAAAACCTTTAAATATCAGTGAAAGCACCTAACATTTGTTTAACTGAGTTAGTGATCCTTGGCCCCGTTGTAAATACCTGTTGGGATCATGAGTACACCCTACAGAGGAACCACATATTAGGACACAACACATATCCAGAGCTTCATGGTTTTCAATTCCTCCTTAACTAATTCCAAATTACGGTCAAAATCATCTAAAAACTAATATACCCTTTATCAAACATCTTAACCAACGTTTATATTTATGAGTTAAAATGTTTTTAATATTACAGGAATTTTTTTACAAAATTTCGTTCTCATTTCTGATCGGCTACTATGTCAACTTGCTAAGTAGCTTATTCAACTAACTAATCAATCAACTATATTGAAGAAAAAACAGTATACAATAAGCATAGATTTCTATTAGAAGGGAATAGACCAATATAATCCAAAACATATTTTTACTGAATATTTACTAAAATCTTAACTTTCTATCACTATTTTTTAGATCATTCGTTTACGTCGGGATTTAAATCGTTTACAAGAAGCTTCAGAATCAAGAATTCGATGTTTGAAAAACAGACTACAAGCAATTAGTGAGGAAGCATTTAAACGACATACATTAGAATTGAAAGTATCACAATTGCATACTGCTGCATTAAAGTATGCAAATGAATTTGACCAATTTACATCATCAAACAAACCACATAATTATATTAGTGAGGACAAAGTAAGAAATACTGGTTTACTTCCTATCAATCATATCATTTTCGACATCTTTGAAATATTATTAAGATATGTTAAATGTTGAGTAAGAATACTTTTGTATGAAGCATTAGTGGAATACTTACCAACAAGTGTGTTCCTTCTATTTATACGAATGAATATAAAATCTGAATAATATATTCATTAGTAGCCTTAAATTTGAATTTCGTCTGAAAGTATCATTTACTGTACAGTTTTGGTCATTAACACTAATCTTAGAGTACAATTACCCTAATTACGAGTTAGAATGAGTATGAAAGTCGAGTTGTCTGTTCAGCACCATCGTTTACTTCAACTTTTTAGATGGGAAACACTTTGATTGTTTTGTATCAAGAAAGTTGAATAGTTTTAATCCTTTTTTCGAATATTTGTTATCACTATTATATATTGATTGTCACAAGCAGTGTAATCCCGGATCTATTCTATGTAGAATATAGCTATATTTCAGTGTTGGTGTTCATAATGAGATTAAAACCCAGCACACTTATCTCATTCAGAAGCAATATAATACTGAGACACTGAATTCAGATAGTTGTGACGTGCGGTATCCGAAATTTGATACTGATAGACGGTATGCTACGTACTGACCCCCCAACTCACTACTTGGGTGAGAACGCGTATTGGACTACCGTTTACATATATACCACTCTATCCTTAGGAAATTAACCCATTTACGTCAATGAAATGCAATTGAAATGAACTTCTGATTGTCATCAATTGACCTTTTACTACTTCTGATTGGCTCTTCATATCGCTATCAACTTGTTCGATGATTATATAATTATCTTTTAGGATTTGTATTTTTTTATTGACTTTAGAACCTTGTACAGTTTATTCTATCGTTTAAAAATGATCAAACTTGTAGATTCTAACACTTTTTACCCTAACAATTAGGACAACAGAACTCATTACGCTGTGTTCATTACAGAAATAGTATGATCATTAACAAGAAAATTAAGCTTTCCACGATACCGTGCATCTATCATAATACTTCAAAACTTCTCATAGGCCGGTAATAGCCGAAATTCAAGCTTTGATGACTCTCTTTTGAGTTTTAGATATAAATTTGAATTTATCTTAATGCAGTATACAAAACTCAAATTTTTAATAATGCTATTAACATGAAACTTAATGACAAGTTATTAGATGGAATGGGTCTGTTTCATTCAATGAATCCTGTTAATTTTGCTCTGTTGTAATTCTTCAAGTGATTAACCAACTGAATAAAAACAACCATAATTATAGTTAATCGTCGCAGAAATACAACCTACTCATTTTTATTTTTTAAACGTTTTAATGTTACTAAATCTCCATCTTGTTTAAATCTCGGCTCAATTTTGATGAACGACTTTTTGAAGTGTAACTAAACTTATCACGTATCCATTATTTATATAAACGGAAACTTTTAACATTGATATTACGTTTAATTTGTTTCTATTTCTCTTTCGTTTTAGACAAAATGTAAGGAGGCCCATCTATTCCCTCTACCACCAATAGCATTGCCAATATCGAATAAATTTCCTCATCAAAATACAATCGAATTAGGAAATTCATTGAGGTCAACACTATCTTCGATTGTACGCACTAATTAGTTCATCTTTATACTTATTTATATAAATTTATATTCTACTTATATTATATTAGAGTAGTATAACTTTATTTGCTGATTTTGGGTGGCGATTGTATATCCAATTGAACTGACAGTACTTTTTGTGTAAAAAGCCAAATCATTTCAATAAATCAATAATTTAAAGTATTGTCTGTGTGAGTAAATTTATCTGATCTAGATCCAATTCATTTGTCCTTTTTTATATTTCCATGGTTTATAGATTTTATTGTAGCCCCCTAGAATATGACAAACGTAGACTTCAGTTTATTTTGAATGTCTCAACGCTGATTGTCGATTTACCAAGATTTTTACATATACATGGCTTAATTAGCACCAGAATATGTGTATAAATAGGGAAAGATTGTGCCGTTTTCATTCTATATTAACATGAGCATCTAGAGACAATATCTTCAGTTCTGATAATTTACTGTCACAATTGATTGATCACTGGGTGGTGATCAATGTCATGCTTGTCTAGTCCTTATTAGTGCAGATCGAATGCTATCGATTATGTTGCAATGTGGCCAGCAGTCTAGGTGACTCAACACTGCGGGCACTATGTATTGAGATTACAGGTACACCTTGCTGACGAGTGCCAAGTAGCACGAAACCCGGGTCCAGGGTTTCCTGTTGACTACCTCCAACCACCATCTAAATCTCAATACATAGTGCCCGCAGTGTTGAGTCACCTAGACTGCTGGCCACATTGCAACATAATCGATAGCATTCGATCTGCACTAATAAGGACTAGACAAGCATGACATTGATCACCACACAGTGATCAATCAATTGTGACTACATCTCAGTCCTACAGGAGGTTAGTCACGGCTCGGATAGCTCAGTGGTAACGTCTCTGACTGTGAAGCTGGGTGACACGAGATCGAATCCGCCAGGGAGCACCAGTTCCCTCAAGATTACAGTTACACCTTGCTGACGAGTGCCAAGTAGCACGAAACCCGGGTCCAGGGTTTCCTGTTGACTACCTCCAACCACCATCTAAATCGCGATAATTTACTGTCCATAACAAAGTATGGAAGCTCATAAAAAAAATCACAATACTAAATCTACTGAGGGATTTGAACCAATGAACAAAGTCAAGATTTCAGCCTTCATGTCTTGATTCTGAATCGAAATGAAAAATGTATATATACCGATGGATTCAGTACAGTAATTAACAACTCCCTATTCATTTCTCAGTCTCTTTATTCCGCTGGTTCTAATGTTGAAATTATTCGTTCATGTACTCTTAACGGGTCGAAACTAATCACATTGCGCATGATAAAGGGCGGCCTGCTTGAGCATCTGGGCTACCTGTTCCTGCCATCTAGATATTTCAACAAGTTATATATTTTTGTTTGTTTTAATAATATCATTATGTTTATTAATCGCATAATCTATTCTGCTGCGTTTCTGAAAAGTGTACAACCTTTCGTTGTCAAAGTTACAAAAAACTTAATAAGAGACAATGTGGTTGCTGGTAATTATACAACGAAAAGAATGCGCATTATTCAGATGTTCATTTAGTGAACTGTTAACATCTAACTGGCGATCATTCAATATTTATCACCAGGACCAACCAAGAAGAAATACTTTACGCTGAGAATTCTATATTGTACCAAAAATATAGTATTGAATAAAGCTAATGATAATAATAATAATAATAGTAATAATAATAATTATTATTATGAGTATTGAGTTTTGTGGATTGTAACAACATATAGTATCAATTAAAGTGAAAAGACCAATGTGAATATCTTAATCCTATAAATAGTTAGCCACTTTCAAAATAACTAAATTATAACACTGAACAGAATGAATCTGAATCCGACTAACAGTATTAACCTTCTTAACACAGTAACTATATCTTAGTGACAACTAAAAAAATATATAAGTTCAGATATTTCTGGCGATTAACTTTGAATACTTAACCTTGTACTGAATACACAAAACTTAGACAAACTGATAAAAGCCACTAGCAAAGATTGATAACGAATTTTAACAGTTGAGATCATGAGTCAATCGAAGCTAGACCACCATGGAAAACCTGGAAGCACTGGACGGGCGTTTCATCATACTGTTGGACTCCTCAGCAGTGCGCATCCACGATCCTACCTCGTGAGATTCAATTGACTCATGAATTCAACTATTAAAAATTTCTATGGTATCCACAAAATCCCTCTCTGATTATATTCATTATTTTTTGTTAAGGCGTTTTTTAGTATTCTTACTTTTTGTTCTATCATCAGAGGATGTTATTAGTTTGAGAATAAGGCTGGGTTTAGTGTGACGTTTTGTTAGTCGCCTACTTATTCATTGTTAAAAAAAATCCCACCACACATTATGATCAGTCAGTACCTGACGGCTACAGCTGTGGGATAAGTACGGGACTCCCCAGCAATGCGCATCCACGACCCCGCCCCGCGGAACTCGAACCCTGGACCTATCAGTCTCGCGCCAGGCGCTTAACCAACTAGGCCACTGAGCCTGCATCCGACGGTGTTAATGTCTAACTTCAACTAATGCACGAAATTGAGCGACACATCCACCATTGTCATCAGTGAGTTACTACCTCACAACTGACCCGGTTGAACTCCACTGGTCACTGCTTCTCACTAAAACGTCAGGATATATCTCTTGAAGCCAGTCACTAGTGAGCATAGGTTGATAAGTATCAGATAGTAGTGAGGTAGACAGTGCTTATCTGTAAAATAATTAACGATGTAACCATAATCTAATTCAAGGATGAATAATTAAGCACTAACCGCAGTCAATAACAACTATGAAACCCATACTTAATGCAACAGTACAAATTAATAGAGAAATAAAATCAAGTTCAATGATCTAGATTTACTTAAATTTAAAAAAAAAAACGTCTTCACCATACTTTATTAACCCTTATTGGCCAAACCGTATCATATTTTTAATTAAGTAGAACACAAATATACACTTATCATTTTGTTTAGTATAAATAAGTTAATTTCTTAATTAGACTTTATCCAGAAACAGCTCTATATAGTATGATTTAGTATTGTATTAAAGTAACAAAAGAAGCTATTTATACTATTTATGCTACAATACATCTTGAAATGGATTCTAAAAGAACCAACAATCCAAGATAAATATAGAATAGTTCATTAAAGAAAGAAAGATATACTACTGCTGAGTAGTTCATTATTTTACACCAAATTATCGAGCTTTAAAATTCTTGATTGATCTTAAAGTTCATCGGACTATATAGGATATACTTGAAAAGTAAAGTTTTCATTTGTATCCTCACGTATTTTTATCCTAGAAATTTCACGTTCAAGGTATGGTATCTATGTAATGCATAAATAGTTTGTTACTTGGTAGTGTAGAGGACGAAAAGCGAACGTCCGGCGCTTTAACCGGGCTGGTGGACATGGAGGGTCCACCTAGGGGAGTTGGAAAACCCTGATTCTAAACCAATGGTGCACATGAGCTCCAGTATCCTGCGGGAACAAATGGCGTATGAGCCAACCGCTGGTCACCGGCTTCCATGGAACTGCATGTCCTTACGATGTTCCACTGCCTTGTGGATCAGACCTTCAGGTCTAAGGCTCGGGATGTGGCCCCCTAAGATAACCACCTGCTTCGGTTTGGGCACCCGAGCAGTATCACAGCCTTCATACATATCAAATGAGATCTGTGTGGCGCATATATATTTGGTGCCTCCTTGTACCAATATCTATGTATTAAAATAAATAAATAAATACTTGGTAGTGTACAAAATTCTAACTGATAAGCACACATTTACTCTACATTCTTGAACATATCAACTTATAAGAAGTTATGGTATGATTATAAAGTACCAACTTCTAGTTATTTAAAAGGATGTGCTTAGTAGTGGTTTAAAACGATTTGCAAAGTGTAGAATTCGTTGAAAGATTCTTTCTTATATACTGAATTACGATTGAAACGTTTGAAATTCAACAAGATTAGCAAAGCTAAATGTTACAAGACCATTTAATAGTGACTACAAGTAAGATAAACTAAAATTGTTCTAAAGAAATAGGGCACTTTCCAATAAAATCTTAAAAATGACCTTTGAAATAAAATTCAGTTTGTTTTCTGAACCCCTTGAGGAAACTAACAGCTCCCATTTCTTGAAATGTGACAAAAAATATTTCGCCAAAATTTCCCCCAAAATACGTTTGACAGATCGTGGTACTCCATAATGAATTTTCACAATATTTCGTGGAATTTGGGAATTTCGGAACAAATTTCAATTTTTCGACTTCTACATGTTCTCACAACATTGAGACAGTTCATTAGATAAAATGACAAGTTGACAATAGCCAGAATGAATCGCTCAAATATACAATAATGGCTTATTCCGACTAACAAACGTATATCTACAGTTGATTTTACTCATTACTATAACGCACTAGTAGAAAGTTTATTTTTGAAGTTTCACTAAGCTTGCATAAAAGGTGATAATTGATTTACTGGCCCCTATATCTGACTCCAGTTTGATTGTTTCTGATTACTATCATGTAATTTAATCCTCGTATAAAATTGTCGACTTAATCTGCGTTGGTAAATAACGAAATTAAATAAGTCAAATATGAGAATAGATTTTGAATATGTATATTTCATCCATTCATTATTGATTTAAAAAATGAAATCAGTGTGACGAAACAGAAGGAGAAAAGCAAAGCAGATTAGAAAATGCAAGTGAGCCAACTCAATTTAATCAACAGTTAGTTTATATTTATAGTCAGACATAAATAAGTTACAAATATGTGATGAATAGGATAAGAAGTGTACACATATATACGCTCACATAATAGTCAATACTGATAAGTGAATAATAAACGGAGTTAATATATCACTCAAGAAGTATGGATAAGTTGACTTATCGAGAGGTTAGAATAAGTTATGTGAGTTTAACATAGTAACTGACACTACATTGATACAGATGACCAAAGAATTTATAATATTAGTTCAGTGGTATATGTCAAAATTTTAATTAGAAATGAGTAAACGTTAAGATGCAGTATCTACTCTTTAAAATAAACAACAACACAACAATGGAATTTATCAATCATACGTTTGTAAGTATCATTCTACTATACAAATATGAGTGTAAATGCTTAGAGTTTTCAAAGTTTGAAGTATCCTATCAT